TCTTTATTTGCGAATCTGACATAACTTTTGATTTACCAAGACATAATGGTTGCGTAGTCGATGAAGCAGAAGACGCTGGTTCCTTGGGGAACACGTGGTCTTATTTTCCTTATCCTTTTTTCAATAGTGTAAATATCGTTGACAGAGGGGGCAATTATAATAGTTTTGAAATTATTGCGGTTAAAAGTTAAGTATTTGAATGGATCATAATGGGTATTGATCAACCTCCAACATTGGGGTGGGGTTTACTTTAAAGTCACCACATAATCGCAAATAGCCGTCGCGTTTGATCACAGGGACAATTGGTGTACCCCACTCACTGTAGTTGACCTTGGATAAGACTCCAACACTGACTAGACGATCCAATTCCTCGTCGACTTTGGGTTTAATGGCATAAGGTACTGTCCTGGCCTTGCAAAATTTTGGATGTGACCCTGGCTTAACACTAAGTTTGGCCTTTATGTCTTTCAACGTACCCCAGTCATCTTTGAAGATTGACGGATGGGCATTCATTATTGACTCCAGCATTTGTTGTACACTTGAACTAATATCAGACTTGGAATCCTCTTGTGTGCGTACATGGTGTATGTTTGACCAATCGAGTGTGATTTCACGAAGCCATTCTCTGCCAAATAACGGTCTGCCTCCGTCAGCAACAACATATAGATCTAGTTTTCTGGTCTGTCCATTGTACTCAACCTTGATCTTGGCCACTCCAAGTGTACAACAATTTCAACAAGTGTTTCAATTTACCTTCCAAGTGTCCCTTATACACTTCCTCTGTAACGACCGAAACTCCAGACCCTGTGCCCAATTCCATTTTGAGTTTATGTCCATTTATTGTGGCTTTTAACCAAATTGAGTCTCGACCACAGCTATTGGTAGTGTTTACAATGACCAGCTGAATATGTGCAATGAATTCCTCATCCCCAGCCTTACATTCAGCTGGTAGGTAGTGTGCCTTGTGGACCTTACTTCTACATGCCTTTTTTATATGACCGTTTTTCCCCACACTTGAAACAGGTTTCATTTCTATATCTAGTCTTTCTGATTATGGTTACCATTACATCGACAACAGGGAGGTTTACTGTTTGTGTGAGTGTTTGTTTGTCCCTTACATGACTGTTTTCCGACCTTGGATTCCCCTCCTTTATCTTGTTCACATTTGTTGTATTACCACCTAGCTCAATGGCGTCTCTAGCTGCCGTTTCAATGGCGACTGCTAGCTCTACAGCTCTGTCGTAGGTCAATTTGTCTTCCGATAACAGTTTTCTTTGTATGTTTTCATTTTTCAGACCACACAGAATCGGCTAAGTTCTCGTCAAACTCGCAATATTCGGACAACTTCCTAATGGCTGCTATGTACTCACGAACACTTTCCCTCTCGCGCTGTTCCCTTTTATGGAATCTGAATCTCTCGGCAATAATTAATGGCTTGGGGTTATACTGTTCTTTTAACGGGGCAGTTAATCTCTCAAATGTTTCCTCAGGGGGCTTCTTAGGAGCCGTGATTCCTCGTAACAGGGTGTGCGTAGTGCCCCCTACCAAACTGAGAAGGGCGGGAACCTGTTTCTCAGCCTTCACTTCATTATATATGTAATTCTGTTCGAGCCGGTCGCTATACGAATCCCAACTCTCAATGCTTTTATTAGATGGATCAATGCGGCCTATTTTACCTGACATTGAAACTTCAGTTTCTCAAAATTGTTATCCTCGTCGCCAATTTGTTGTGTCTGTCACAAACAACCCGAAGCCAGCAATGCCTTCAACGCAAGAGACCATTTATTGTTTTCTATACAGGAGAGTTACAATTTGGGCGGGACCATTTACATAGCCGAAAGATGTGTCCGAAAATCTGGAATTAACCAAAATAGTAAATACATAACACGGACCACAGAATAACACGCGCTTTCAACACCACGAGTTGTATCCCGCCGTCTGTTGATCGTTCTATTTCACGTGAACACTAGTTTCCTGTGATTACTTAAGGATAGTGTACTATTCCCTGATCAATTGGCTGTGTAACATTTGTAGTGTTAGAGTGGTGTAGGGATTGGGCTGGAGAAGTTACGTACGTAGATTTCAAATTCTTAACTGTGAAGCTCGGTAACGTCAGAGACATATATAATACATATGTCTCTGGTAACGTGTCCTTCTGTGCTGAGAATGATACATCGTATTACCAAATTATTTTCAATTATATACGATGACATATTGTATTTGACACGCAATATCTCAACATGTACATGCTGCCGGCCTTAATTTGCTTTTATTGCTCCTAAATATGCATGCAACCTATTAAGCCAACTACACTTACTTCCGGTCTATGCTCCTAAAGATTCATGCAACCAATTAAGCCAACTACACTCACTTCCGGTCTATGCTGCTAAAGATTCATGCAACCAATTAAGCCAACTACACTCACTTCCTGTCTATGCTGCTATAGATTCATGCAACCATTTAAGCCAACTACACTCACTTCCGATCTATGCTGCTATAGATTCATGCAACCATTTAAGCCAACTACACTCACTTTCGGTCTATCCTGCTATAGATTCATGCAACCAATTAAGCCAACTACACTCACTTCCGGTCTATGCTACTATAGATTCATGCAACCAATTACGCCAACTACACTCACTTCCGGTCTATGCTACTATAGATTCATGCAACCAATTAAGCCAACTACACTCACTTCCGGTCTATGCTGCTAAAGATTCATGCAACCAATTAAGCCAACTACACTCACTTCCGGTCTATGCTCCTAAAGATTCATGCAACCAATTAAGCCAACTACACTCACTTCCGGTCTATGCTGCTATAGATTCATGCAACCATTTAAGCCAACTACACTCACTTTCGGTCTATGCTGCTATAGATTCATGCAACCAATTAAGCCAACTACACTCACTACCGGTCTATCAAGCGTAGGTTCGTTTGACGTACTGGTAAATCGTTGCTACCAGGCGGTGACGCTGATTAAAAAACTTACTCTTAATTAGATAAACAAACTGATAGCTTATTGTCAGAAATGATCCGTTGTGTGTAGTCTAGACAGATGTGCTGTAATTAGCTCTGTGATTTGTGATGTTCGACTCTGTATAAGTATTGATCAATCTGTTTACAAGACGTCGACGCGCCGATGTTTTGATCATATTAATTTTGAGAAAAGGAATGATTTGCTTTACAATTGTAAGGGACAGAAAATTCACCTCGACTCAAACGAAATTCCGACCTAATGATATTCCAGTAACCCGAACTAAAAATGAACTAGACTTCCATATACAAAATTTACAATATTTTCACTATAGCTACTACTATTTCTGATCTCCAATGCATTAGATAATGTCACCATGACACGCAAAATGAATAAATATGTTATGGAAATATTTCGTTCTAGTTAGCTGATAATCATAAACATGAACATTTTGGTTTTTTATACGCGCTTTGTTTGAAGGAATATTTTCATTTCAAGGAACTTTGATACACATTAACAAACCTTGAAAAATCAGCACAATCAATCTTCATCAAATAAAACTAAAAGACAAAAAATATAAGTTATAACAAAGTCAACATCATGATCAGTACGGTTTTAAAATATATATTATTCATAAATCATGAGCACCAAATGTACCTTATCTACTAAGCGCAAACTTTTATCTACAAAAACTTGAAAAAGTGTCATGGCGCTGGGTGTGAAAAACCTGAAAAAATGTCATATCGGCGGGTATGCGCGTCCAATTTTGTGACGTCTAATGAGGTAAAGTAATGTTATAATATTAAGACGATCTTGCCACAACGACAAGGATTAAAGCAAAATTGATGTTCGGTTTGTAAGTTTTGTTTGTTTATAAGTGCTGTTAGTTAATAATTCAAACCAAGCCCCCAGACTAGCTTCTTATCATGGCGCCAAATCGCACGTACAGTGTTCTGTACGCTTACGTCATGTCGAGAAGGATTCATAAGCCGCCATACAGTAAATACACTGTAAATCAAGTCATGCAGTTACAATGAACTTTGAAGATACAAGAAATCATTTTTTTGCTTACTTACGGCAGAGACGTATCTCTGCTTACGGTTCATATGGTTGTTTTCTAGGAATATTCACAGCAGGCGATAAGAATCACGTCAGCTCGATCTTCTTGAACAGCACAGGTTGGGGATGTCCGTGAGCAAATTCCGTAAAATATATTGTTCAAAATTTATCAATAGTTCAACCACACTGTGCTTCTTTTTTAAATATATAGTAATCGTATTGTTATTAAAAAATAAACTGATTGTGGATGATTTTAAAAGATCGCGGCATTATTTACGCAGCAAATTGCCGCTAGAGGGCTCTAACTCTTTTCGATATTTCAGCCAATGAGAAGGCCATAATCGGTAAATTTTGTCTGAAAGGCCGTCGCAATAGGCTGTACGTACTGAGTACGTTTAGCCTAAAAATGAAACAAAATAGGGACTTCGAAATGATTTTGACACTAACGATTCTTAATAGAGAGAGACAGGCAAAGAGAGAGAGGAGAGAGAGATTGAGAAACAAACAGAGAAAGAGAGTGAAAAATTACTAAGTCTGACCAGAGACGTATATAAGTGTAGTCATAGAAGGAAAAAACGTTTATCCTTCATGAACATCTGGTCTTATTACCCATGTTCTTGTTTATGAGTCTCCGCATAAATCTTTCTTTTGTTCATATAGTTTCCTCAAATTTGAGTTTTCAGTTCAGTTCCCATTGTCACGAATTTCATGAAAGAAGTCATCAATATAACAACAAATACTGAAAATGGATTTTTTTTATTGCTATCAAACAAACAATTAGTATAAATGTTATCACAGTCAGTGCTATATACTTTAACATGGACATTGATATAAAATACTTCACAGATAAAAAGTTCAATGGTTTGTCATATAAATTATTTAGAATTCCAAAATCTAAAATGCCAAAAATTTCATGTAAATTTTCATCTTTTTTAATTAAAAAAAAAAAGAGATTATTGCAATTTGTTTTTTAACTTGAATCTTCATAGTTTTAATGTTTATCAAATATCTGATGAATAATCTAAAGTACCAAAATATTTATAAATTTACAAAACCAACCATCATAACCAAACAATGACATTGATCAAATATCACCTGTTTAGCTCAGATTGGACCATAAATACTTGGGAGGAAATTTCTTTGATAAAGATTGTACAGCATACATTCAATGATTAAATAAATTTTCAATTTCATAAAAATTACGAAATATAAGTAAAATCACACATCACTGAAGTTTTTAAACAAATCACTATCACATTGGTAGAGAGAATGGGGAGTTCTTATCTTACGAGAAAATAAATCTAAATATGTAAAAATATCACAGCTACATAATTCAAAACACGCATTTAGTACAAAAATATAAAGATCAAGCTTATTCCAAACAATTCTTAATCAATATTTTTATTTATTTAATCAAACAATAATTGTTGTTGTCAAAAGTGGCATAAATTACTGCTACAGATAATTTGTTAATATCATTAAAGATTTTATTTTAATTTGAAAAAAAAGGCGATGTTATTAGTGCATATCCCGTCTCCAGACTTAACACAAAGCTTTCCCTTTAAGGAATTTTGTCGGTGAATAATATAAACAAAAAAACAAAAATGTCAAACAAAACAGGTACAGGGTAAATTATATATATTAGGTAAGTTCAACCGTCATTTACTAATTACAAAAACAACAGACGTTGTCTGTTTAGTTCAAGTTGAACTGAATATTAAAACAGGCTCTCTACATATTTAATGAGTAGTTTGAACAAACAGTTTAACTCAAAGCAGTCATTAAGAAATCAAATATATTAAAACAAAGAAAAAAACAAATCTTTTTCAAAGTTCTCATGTTTTTGCTCCAGCTGTTTGCCAATCATTTTTAAATACATATTACAAGCAAAACCTAGCATATTTCTCTATAAATATTGTACACAGCAAAACAAACAGTCCTAGGACTTGTCAACTTATCATCTCTCCAGAGTGTCATAAAAAAGCTTATTTTTCTATCTTTGAAAAAATGGCCAAACAGTTCGAATTATCCTATACATTTTTGTCGGCCCTAATTAATTATATTCACTTCTAATAATCAATTTTCTTTTTTTTTTAAATTGATTTTGTACATAGGTGTAAAGTTTGGTCTGTTATCCACCTACAACACCTGCAAATATTTTAATTAAGAGAAAAAAAATTGAAAAATAGTTATATTTGGTGTGACATCACTAAATTGTCACTGCTGGTAAATTCACAATAAGAAATCCCCGCATCTTCTTGAGATTTTTTTTTTTGTTACTCGGATGTTCAAAACATTGGTGTGGTGCGGCCTCCGATGTGTGTGCTCAAACCTGGCATAGGTTTGTCTGGCAGTCCTTTCTCTCGGATACTCATGAATGACTGCTCCCTCCACAAGATATCCTCAACAGGGGACACTGTTCCAAAGTACCTTACCTCATCCTCTTTCGTGGTCAATTCTGTCAAGCACAAACATATATGTTGTAAATAAGTCTTACAATGTCCTTGAAAATTTAGGGAAACTCCCAAGTTTAGAAAATCAAGGTACTCAATAAAATATGTACACATCAGAATTTAAAAGTTTGACAGGTTACATGTACAAACAAACACATAATGCAGCATCTTTCAAATCAGTGTACATACCAACAACATTTTAACTGTATCATAGAGTGATTTCATCTTTCAAAGATTCGCCATTGCAAAGTACATGTCATAATGTGAGAAAAAAACGAAAGCGAGCGAGAAAAATCACAATTGCTGCTAAAATATAACAAATAAGAATGTTCACTTTTGATCGAAGACCTTTCGATAGTACACACTTTTAAACAAAACCACACAATAAGTAAATATGCCGTTTGGTGGAACAATACACACATTTGGTCCATACAGAAGAGACAATCGTGATTTATGTCATAGAAATTAATACAAACAGAAACAACAAGGAATCAAAGTGTCAAGAGGAAAAACAGTGTTGTATGTTGTGATGATGAATCAAAGAATACAAAATTTTAAAGAGATGAGTTGAAAACCATGTAAAAAAAAATATGTCAAGATTAAAATGCTTAAAACACCAAAGGGCACAGTGTTGGAACTGTTGAATCAGACAGCTGTTCATGGAACAATTTCATTTTGTAGTTATAAAACTTACGAAGTTTCACAGAAATTGTTATAAAATGTTTGGGAGAAGGTCTCTGTACAAGTTATAGATGCTCAAAACACAAAGGGACATTAACTATCAAAAAACTGCAGAATTAAACTGCCTGAAGAACCAGATTGAGTCAAGTTTCTTAAACTGTGCTTCTCCTATTCTGCATTGCTAATCAAACCTTAAAAAATTTCAGAATAAAACATTAGTAAAAGGCACCATTTGAGATGTTCTTGAGTAAGTTTCAGGTTCCTTTCACCTGTGGGATTTCCCCACAATTTTCAAGTTAATATATTAAAACTTTTTTGGTCGGGTCTGGAATGCATCGAGCTGAACTTTATATCTCTGTCTTCCACTTGGTTTAATAAACATGATAATTTACTCACTGTGTGTTTTTGTCTTGGGAAGAATTTTGACTTTCCAAACGATGATGACGCCAATCAGTATCAGTACAGCTAAAAGACCGATGACCAATCCAATAATAAGACCAATTTTTGAAGATTCCTCTGCCACCTGTGACTGAATTCAAGACAAGAAAATGAAATGAACATCTACACATTTCATGCAAACCATTAAGTGGATGTTATCACATTTTGGCTTAAAAAATCTGAGATTTAAAGAGTGTATTAAATTCAAATTAACATTTGTGGTAAATTGTGAAAATTTTTCGATTTCTTGAAACCAACCAATCAGATATCTTCACTTGGTGAATGCTTTATATGATTTTTCATAGCAGAAACAAAATACTGACATGTTAACGGACATCATTATTCAAATATAAATTTTATGAAGCTAGGGCAAAATATGAACAAGAAAAGATCTCCTTTCATATGGACCTAATACAGTACACTAATGTCCACATTTTAAGCACTTCATTCACTAGGCTTTATTTTTGAGATGTTTTGAACAGCGATACGCTGACTGACCTCTTCCTCACAATTCACTCCGTAGTATTGTTGACCATCGACCGTCATGGTGGAGGACAAGGCGAAGGTTGTACCGTTGTAGGTGAAAGTAGATCCTGTGGAAATGTCGCTGCATACACTGGTATATATATCACTAACAGTGGTCGTGTTACCAGAAACGGACACCGAGATAACCACACTCCCTGGTAAAAAAGTTATTTTATTTTCATCATTATATACTGAATCAAACATCACACATATATAACAGTGGTAATCAAAAACCTATCAATACTGCTGGGCTATTGGTCTGATACTGCTGGGCTATAGATCTGATACTGCTAGGCTATAGATCTGATACTGCTGGGCTATAGATCTGATACTGCTGGGCTATAGATCTGATACTGCTGGGCTATAGGTCTGATACTGCTGGGCTATAGGTCTGACACTGCTGGGCTATAGGTCTGACACTGCTGGGCTATAGATCTGACACTGCTAGGCTATAGATCTGATACTGCTAGGCTATAGATCTGATACTGCTGGGCTATAGGTCTGATACTGCTGGGCTATAGGTCTGATACTGCTGGGCTATAGATCTGACACTGCTAGGCTATAGGTCTGATACTGCTGGGCTATAGGTCTGATACTGCTGGGCTATAGGTCTGATACTGCTGGGCTATAGGTCTGATACTGCTAGGCTATAGGTCTGATACTGCTGGGCTATAGATCTGATACTGCTGGGCTATAGGTCTGATACTGTGCTGCTATAGATCTGATACTGCTGGGCTATAGGTCTGATACTGCTGGGCTATAGATCTGATACTGCTGGGCTATAGGTCTGATACTGCTGGGCTATAGATCTGATACTGCTGGGCTATAGGTCTGATACTGCTGGGCTATAGATCTGATACTGCTGGGCTATAGGTCTGATACTGCTGGGCTATAGGTCTGATACTGCTGGGCTATAGATCTGATACTGCTGTGCTATAGGTCTGATACTGCTGGGCTATAGATCTGATACTGCTAGGCTATAGGTCTGATACTGCTGGGCTATAGATCTGATACTGCTGGGCTATAGGTCTGATACTGCTGGGCTATAGGTCTGATACTGCTGGGCTATAGATCTGATACTGCTGGGCTATAGGTCTGATACTGCTGGGCTATAGATCTGATACTGCTGGGCTATAGGTCTGATACTACTGGGCTATAGGTCTGATACTGCTGGGCTATAGATCTGATACTGCTGGGCTATAGGTCTGATACTGCTGGGCTATAGGTCTGATACTGCTAGGCTATAGGTCTGATACTGTTAAGCTATAGGTCTGACACTGCTGGGCTATAGGTCTGACACTGCTGGGCTATAGGTCTGATACTGCTAGGCTATAGATCTGATACTGCTGGGCTATAGATCTGATACTGTTGGGCTATAGATCTGATACTGCTGGGCTATAGGTCTGACACTGCTGGGCTATAGGTCTGATACTGCTGGGCTATAGGTCTGATACTGCTAGGCTATAGGTCTGATACTGCTGGGCTATAGATCTGATACTGCTGGGCTATAGATCTGATACTGCTAGGCTATAGATCTGATACTGCTGGGCTATTGGTCTGATACTACTGGGCTATAGGTCTGATACTGCTGGGCTATAGATCTGATACTGCTGGGCTATAGGTCTGATACTGCTGGGCTATAGATCTGATACTGCTGGGCTATAGGTCTGATACTGCTGGGCTATAGATCTGATACTGCTGGACTATAGGTCTGATACTGCTGGGCTATAGGTCTGATACTGCTGGGCTATAAATCTGATACTGCTGGGCTATAGATCTGATACTGCTGGGCTATAGGTCTGATACTGCTGGGCTATAGGTCTGATACTGCTGGGCTATAGATCTGATACTGCTGGGCTATAGGTCTGATACTACTGGGCTATAGATCTGATACTGCTGGGCTATTGGTCTGATACTACTGGGCTATAGATCTGATACTGCTGGGCTATTGGTCTGATACTACTGGGCTATAGGTCTGATACTGCTGGGCTATAGATCTGATACTGCTGGGCTATTGGTCTGATACTACTGGGCTATAGATCTGATACTGCTGGGCTATAGGTCTGATACTGCTAGGCTATAGATCTGATACTGCTAGGCTATAGATCTGATACTGCTGGGCTATAGGTCTGATACTGCTGGGCTATAGGTCTGACACTGCTGGGCTATAGGTCTGATACTGCTGGGCTATAGATCTGATACTGCTGGGCTATAGGTCTGATACTGCTGGGCTATAGATCTGATACTGTTGGGCTATAGGTCTGATACTGCTGGGCTATAGGTCTGATACTGCTGGGCTATAGGTCTGATACTGCTGGGCTATATACTGCTGGGCTATAGGTCTGATACTGCTGGGCTATAGATCTGATACTGCTAGGCTATAGGTCTGATACTGCTGGGCTATAAATCTGATACTGCTGGGCAATAGATCTGATACTGCTAGGCTATAGATCTGATACTGCTGGGCTATAGGTCTGATACTGTGCTGCTATAGATCTGATACTGCTGGGCTATAGATCTGACACTGCTGTGCTATAGATCTGATACTGCTGGGCTATAGATCTGATACTGCTTGGCTAAAGATCTGATACTGTTAAGCTATAGATCTGATACTGCTGGGCTATAGATCTGATACTGTTAAGCTATAGATCTGATACTGCTGGGCTATAGATGTGATACTGCTCGGCTACAGATCTGATACTGCTGGACAATAGATCTCTAAGTATGGCTTGTTTTAGCAATGTGGTTACAGATGAGAAAGAAAAGATCATAGATAAACAGACCATTACACTAATGTTCAAATATGTGCATCCTAAATTGACCATCATGACAGAGAAAAACAAGATGAAGAAAAAAATGCTGACAAAAAATAGTTAATGGATAAGACAACAGGCAGATGACACCTACAGGCAAGCCTTGTTCTCTCTTGTAAAACTCCAACATCCTGTTTAATTTACAGTATTCCGTTGATCCCAGCAAAACTTGACACCAAATATTCAAACTCACTTAAATTGAATATTTGGACAACTCTAAAGTTTCCTCATGGTCTTGATCACATATAGATAAGGAGATTCAACTGTAGTTTTCAAAAGCATAAATGGCGTCGAAAGGAGACAACACTATTTTTGTAACATTCTTGTGCATCGAAGAAAGAATTCTCCATTAGTGACACCTGTAATTGTGCTTACAAAATTGAACTGTAATTTAGTAAACACAGGTGAAACATGTCTGAAATATCATACAGGCTTGAAAGTACATCAATGTAAAGCAGAATCTATTGATGACAACAGAAATTTTACTAGATCTGCAGACTATACCAGAAAGTGTTGTAACAGACCGTGTAAACAACGAAGATCATGTTATATACTGAGGGCAAGATCGTGGACAAACAGAAGAACCAATCAGTATGTTCTGTGAAGAAGGTCAATCAGATACAGAGACAGAAACCTGTTGTGAAAAGAGATCCGGCCCCACTTGCATAAAACAACTCAACTTGAGATTACCTCATGTCGAGATTTTCCTTACCTAATATCTCCTTGAAAATATCTTGTATGAAAATTCCTCAAGGAATTTCAGGACATCCTAGCCGATGACTTCCTCCTGTTCCTTAAGAAAATTTTATACAAGCCGTTTTTGAGGAGATATCAGCTGAGGAAAATCTCGACTTGAGGAAATCTCAAGCTGAGATGTTTTATACAAGTGGGGCCAGATTGCTAAATGGTTCAGCCAATTTTATGACACCATGTTCACTACTGTGGTGAACAAGGTAATTCCTACATCACTTATGGCACCAGTGAATTGAAAAAATTGGCAAAAGGTCAGCAAAACTGTTTAAATATGAAATATCATTTTCTATATAGCAGTGATCTAATAGACATTCTAGACATACCTATTCATTCCTGATAAATGAACTTCTTTAGGGATGTATAATATCACTTAAAAATAAATGTGGTTTTTTTTTGATAACTATAAAACCAACATACCTTCAGAAACAGCCAAGTTCGAGAAGAGGATATTTGGATGCAGTGCCATCTTTGGATTCAAGAATACTCCAGCAGCAAAGTCCAGATTGCCATACGTATTGAAATCAATGTCATACTTAACAGACAACACCTGCGAGACATCCGGCACCAGAGACTGCAGAGCAGAACTTCGGATTATGACGTCATGTTCCATGGTGAGGGAGTAGCCTGTTGTCGATGTGACTGTGATGGTCAAGACTTGGACACCCGCAGTGTCAAAGGCAAGGTCATTAAAGGTCACCTCACCTGTTCCAGGGTTGAAGTTTGCTGATGTTGTACCAACGAGAGCTCCTTGGTAACCGCTTGTAGTGGAGGCAGTTACCATTGCTGACCAAACTCCACCCTGGAAAATAAGTTGAAAAGAATGGCACAATTACTGAAAATAAACACTATTCTGCTCTCACTATTATTTATTTTCCCAATCAAAAAAGTCAGACATCCAGATCGCTCAGCTATTCAACTAAAAGAATTATTTTCAAGGAATACCTTTAGAACATGTATACTGCCTCTCCAGCTTTGATGGAAAACTTGTTTGAAAAAGGGGAACAAGAAAAACTAACTTCCAATTTGACAAGTATTGATGTTCATCCCCTTATCATCCTTCCCACAAAATATTCCCACTCTATATATAACACTGCAGACTCTGCTAAATTTCCTCCCCAAGTCTTTGATCTAGAACTCAAAATTATGGCATACCCTGAAGAAAAGAAAATGTAAAGATTTTCGTCTCAATTTTGAACATTTTGTAACTCGTATAAACTTCATGTTTTACAAATCAGCTGAAGATTTTGAAGCTGAAATCATTCATCACATAGTGCTTAATCTCATCATCGGAGACAATTAATATCTAATTGGTGTCTCAGTAGCCTTTCCCAGAATGCACTGCGGCTTCACAAAGGACCGGAAGGCATTCTGCGATAGCCTGCAGACCAATGGCTGGGTGATACTTCAATCTCTACCAATTGAAAATAAGCAAACTAAAATATTTTTTAATCCATGATCATATGGAAATACTACGGTAATTCATTTTTTTTTTAAAATTTATGGTCATATGATAAGTCCATTCCTTTAATTTGGGGAAGAATTTGTAGGTTTCACTACTTGGCTTATCATTACGGGATCAATTCTACAGTAATCACGGTTGGAGAGATTACAAAAATTAAATTCCTATACTCACATTCCACACCAAGTTATCAACTTTGGTGTTGGTACTGGTGTCTACGACCTTGAACCTCAACTCATGTAGGTTGTTTGTGTAAACATCACCAGCGCTATAAGCCAGGTCAACCTTGAAAGGTCGTAAGGTCACCATCAGAGGATCAGATTCCAAGGTGAAGTTGGACTCCGGAAATATAATATTGAAGTCAATGATGAAACCAGATCCACTATGGCTCAGTGAAAGGTCAGTGAAGTTTGCCCACCCATTGACAAACTCTACGGTGGTATTTCCTGCCAAGGTTGTCAAAATGTTTGATCCAGACCCAGACCTCAGAACAGCCTCCACCCTCCATGGAACAGCAGCCACACCCAATGAAGACACATGAACACCCTGACAAGCAAGAAATACAACAAAATACAACAAAATATTTTTGAAAAATTTTCTATTAGGTAGAGCAGACAACTGATTTAGCGCCTTAAGACCTTTTCATCCATGAAGAGCTTTTGATTCTATCTCCCGTATTTGACCCAATAAGCACCCATGTCCTTATAAGCGCCCCCTCCCCCTTTCAGATACCTAAAAGTCTAGATTTACTTACCTTTTAATCACAATCAAGAATTGTTTTAAGTCGGTTTATAAGGAGTTGTACTCCAGAAAAACGTAAAACACTTTTTATATCTAAGATGGTCTAAGATGGTTTTATTGTATGTTAAACAACTAGTGATTTTATAAATACAGGAACTGTACAGTAGATGTTTTAGTACTGAATGTGTTTCTTTTACATCTAAAATTGTCTCTAATAAGCGCCCCCCTTAATTGCAAATTTTTAAGCGCCCTGGACGCTTATTAGATCGAATACGGTAGTATTGAACAGATTTAAAAGGATTTTTTTAGCCAAAATGACCCCTTTTGGCCCAACCTATCAGGCCTCTGAAAGGTAGGGTCTTTATATTTCACAATGTTGGTTCACCTTTGCCCATTAAATGATGCCTCCAAGTAACCTGTTCAGGAAAAGTGGTATTTTGAAGCACAATATTCCCATTTCTCATTTAGGACCCAGCCCGTACCTTTTTCTCATCACCATGGGTCCGATCAACTTCATTTATAAAAATGATTGGTTATAACTATTGTTATAAATTGTTATCTCTTCATCAATATAGTTAAACCAATGAATGTCTTTGTTGTCACAATTTTCAATTATGCAGTGAAATAACTTAGCAAACACTCTGTATTCTTGTACATCCTATGTACCTGAAAACCCCGCCCCCCCAGAAACCGACCCTGTCTTTTACCACTGTGAATTACAAAAAAAAATTGCTTGTCATAACTAAATAGTCATCTCTTGATCTTCCCTTCTTTGTCCTTACAAAATAAAAAGTTTTCATAGTTGGTATGAGTTTGTTATATCTGTATAAGTAATTGCACCAAGTGGCTGGCCGTGAGATACAACAAGGGTAGTCATATGAATTCTCCAATGAAGATATAGGAGGTTAAGACAGCTATCATACATGCATGAGTTTTTTTTTGGTCATGGCTTACAAAACAAAACCTCCATGCGAAACTTACTGCAATGTCCATGAAATGTAGTTTGGGTTGCTGGGTAAAGGCACTTCCTTCGGCTCCTGACACGATAGTGCTGAAGAAACTGAAGGAGTCTATCACCTGGACAATACGCTCTGAAGTTGACATTTCAACAAATGTCTGCCAGCTAGCGTCATTTACTGGTGGAATAACTTCAGCAATGCTCATTCCATTGACGGTGACGTTCAAAAGTGAGGATATGATGCCATTCTGTAATTAGTGAAGTAATAGTATCAGTGAAACTGAAATGCTCCCCTGAAACGACTTTATTTGAAAAAAAAAATTAACAAAGGGCAATAACTCTGTTACTGAGGTGTAAAGGGCTCTGACTTTGCTACACTGCACCCTGCTTTTGTATGATTGATGTGTAACATCACATTTCAATATCCTAATTTAAATGCAGGCAAAGTTATGCTCCAGACACAAAATTTAAACGAAGGGCAAAAACGCTGTAAATGATTGAAGGGTTTGCAGGACCTGACATTGGTACACTGCACATTGTCTTCATATGATCAATGTATACACCAAGTTTCATGATCCTTGCTTAACTGTGGCAAAGTTTGGCTATATGCTTCCTCAAAACTTCTGGTGAGCAGAAAAATATTATAAAATGATAGCCCCTGGCCCCAGTTTCATGTTTTTACTTCAGGAAATCTGAACCATTGTAGAAAATCATAACATAACTAAAAAACCCCTGAAATTTATGTAATGCTTCCCCATGAGCAATTTTAAGTTTGGAAGAATAACTTAAGTTTCGGAAGATACATGAAACTGGGGCCTGAAATCACTATACATTCATGTAGTTTACTTTAAAAAGAAACAAACATTAAACATTGAATTCCAAAGAAGCATTGACTGATACATATCTATTGACCTTGACAGAGAAATCACTTTGTTCACACCAAATATTGAACTTTAAATGTACAAAAACATGAATCTTTTGGCTTTGACCAATTAATAACTTCACATACAAGTATTTAACTTTAAAAGCAAAAAAATATCAGCTATTTGACCGTGACTGAGAAACTGCTCCACATTGGACATAATGGTTTAATGTGTGCGCTGAGAGTTTCTATCTGGGGTTAATCTACTAATTCAATGAACAATAAAAACACTGAACATGATGCACTACACGTGACGACAATGTAAAAAATGTTCTACAGAGAAAATGTTTGCGTCAAGCGAAAATAACAACATCAACTCCTGAACAATTTGTATTCAATTGAATAAAAAACAGGTATCAACACTTTAGAAAGACAAGAGTTAAACCTGTCTATAAAGTCCACTCAAGGCAGCAGAGAAAGTGACATTGATGAAGAGGTGACCTTTATAGAGAGGTTCAATTACTATGAATGACATTAAATAGGGGACCTGAAAACTGGCCTTCATACACAGGTGACCTTTATAGAGAGGTTCAATTACTAGGAATGGCGTTATATAGGGAACCAAAAAGCGACCTTTATTGACAGGAGTTCTTTGTACAATGATGGCCTTTAAGTCGAGTTTAACAGTAATCTTAATAGTACCATTTTGGGTTGCATTGAGGAGCAAGTAAAATAAGGGACATAATAATAAAAAATTCACTTGCACCAGTATTAGATATAAACAAGTATCAAGTGAATGTTAAGTCAACATATGTTAATAGCTGGTCAACTCTAACAAAACTTTGAGTACTGGATCCTGTAGTTTGTCTGTTACACTTCAAACATCATACTTTATCAAATGCAGTTGAAATGTCAGTCTGACATTCAATTTATCTTTATCTGTTTTTGCTACATGTGGAAATTAAACCCTACCTGAAATGCATTCAGGACGTCACTTGCGACAGTTTCCAAGTCGGTGTATGTCAAGGTCCTAGTTTCTCCTGTACAGCTGGCAGTAGCACAAGACGAATCAGAAATTTCAACATAATAGGTGGTTATACCAGTAGACCGCTTCCTTCGAGCGGATCCTTGATCTGACCTTTGTATATCTAGAATACGTACTTTTGATTGGGGAACAAGCAGAAAAGCTGCTAAATTTCTCACAATATTTTCTCCAAAAAACTCAGCTTCAGTCAATTCTACAAAAACATCTAAAGAAAGGGTGATGGCATCCTTTGTCTTAATATCAACAATCTTTCCTCCTTGCAGAATTAAGTAAAGCAGATTAGTAGATCTATTCAAGAAATTGGTACCACAGGCATCTGTCAAATTGGGCATAAAGTAGCCATCAGGCTTTGACGAAGGATGCTGAAGGACATTCTCACCATTTTCCATCTTACTATTTTTGGGATTTACAAGATTCCCATCGACATACACATCTAGACTATTAGTGAAAGTGTAATACACTCCAATCACGATTGTGCTGCTGGGGTGTGACATGGGCATATGGAAGCGAAGCTCTTTGGGCGAAGTCGATGAGAAATAAATTACAGCACTTGTTTCTGAAAAAAGCAGTCATTATAGATGTTTACAGCTGCTATAAACTTGTTTAGTAAGAGCAAAGTTAGGCTACAGACACAAAATTTCAAAAGTGGAATAAGTTGATACATGAAGGGTCGCAAAACCTGACACTAGTACACTGCACATCGTTTCAGTATTGGAATGACAATTGTATACAAAAAATTTCATTATCAAACTTTACCATGCAATCTACCTTAGGTTCTATTATGGACACAAAATTTGAACAAAGAGACATAACTCAGTTATTCAGGGATTGTGGGCCCCAACTGATACATTGCACAGTTTAATGATCCTTGTTTTCATGTGGGCAAAGTTTGACTCCAGACACAAAAAAAGACTAGTGGCAACTATATTCTTCCCTCCAAAATTTTTGTGGTGTATAATGATACTTCATAGGAGAAAATGGTGATGATACCAATGATATTTGTTGTAAAATAAAAACAAATGTTTCAACTATTTTGCAAAGAAAATAAACAAATTATGTTCAAAAACTATTTTTTTTTCTACATCTTTCATCCATACTGTTTTTTCTCATCTGTCCCAAAATCAAACAGGCACAGCTTGTGAGCAAAGGAAACCTACATCAGTAATTTGAGAGAAACCTAGGTAGTACTTCTCAAGTGACCAACAATAACAAGAATTTTCTATAAATGGCTCAAGGATATGATGATTGTGCGCTAAATAAACCGGAGCTTTAACAACAGTGTTTGGTTTAATCTGTTTATGAGTTTTGACAATTTGGTAACAGGTTAAACTGCTGTTTAAAGAAAATTCATTGCAAATGATTTTCTCAATCCAATGAAAATAAAAGAACCAAACTTACCATCAGCGATTAGAAATGAAAAGGTGGACAGACGTTTCATGCAGGTGTATCCTAAACACCATCCATGATCCTGTGGACCATTTACCAACTGGAGATACTTCCCATCATCACCACGACCAGCATTATTTATTGCCACAGGGGATAATCTCCGAGTCTCTGTATCGTCATCCATGCTCTCTGCTACTACAAGTTGGAGGTCATATCCAGAACATTGCCAAAAACGTGACACATCATTTTTCACGCAGCTTTCATCACGAAGAATGCCTGAAATTTCAAATATAACAAAAAATGGTTTATATTCCATTTATTTTGCTGATTTTACAAAAAAAAAACTTTAAGGTAAAAAGATTAATTTTTCAACAAGGACATGGAAAGAACAGTTGATGTTGATATTTTTCAATAACCTTTTTGCAATTCTTGATCTTACATTATTTTCTTTCATTCTTAAAAATAATGAAAAAGGAAATCTGAAAAATAACAACATAGTACAAAGTGGGACTATAATCCATGATAAACTTTAATCTAGATATATTAATTTCATTTAGACTCTGGAAACCCAAAACTCAAAAAAAAACCCGTTTCAACACCAGTTTGTTACAGGTTAATTTTATACAATATAATGAACCACATTTAGGGTCATCTCTAAATGAATATATCCATTATATTCTAATTCACTTCGTTCAAACGAACATAAAACATTTATCATATAGACTCAACACCAATATATGGGCGTGACCTTCAACGGTCCAACTTTTCTCTTTTAATGTTTTTTCCTTTTTTTTATACAATAAAATCAACAAACACCGTCCACTGTTCGTACTGGTACATGTACATCTGAGTTAAGTGACACCTGCAATTACAATGTAAATATAAATATAAAAATGACAAATTTACTGTTATCTGGTGGACCGTCAAGACTCGAATGATATATGGTATCATTTCACTTTACCGTTACAACTCTTGACACGCAAATTATACGTGAATCACGTGCAGTCTCATAACCTTCAAGCTCTATGCAAATTACTTGTAATACCCTTTATACACCCGACACACGTGTCACTGTTTACTAACATCGGTGTCATGTGACTAAGATAAATTCATTAGTATGTTGTATATAGTAAGTCAAAATCACAATAGTTCACAAGACGTTTTAATTGTGAAGATAATCGATTCATCTTTTATTACCAGATATAGTCCCTAACAAACTTGGTCTACTTCCTTAAGAAGTTTAATAACATAAATCCTCCAGAAAATTGTAACAGACGAGCATGTTTTTGACCACAGATCCTTAAAATCACTAAATTTACAATAATATTTGAGATTTGATTCCTTATTTCCTGAGAGTAGAACCATAATGGTTTGAACCGCTCACCTGGCTTCATCCAAATATAAAGGCATAGGAATTCTTAATTTCAAAACGCAAAACACATACTATTTGTATTTCCTAAATTGGGCCCATCCCTCTCTCTCAATGGTCAGTCAACCAATCCATGGATTACACCAAACTGGGACAGAATACTGCTATAAAGTAGTAAAAAGAAGTTGTTCTATTTTTTCCTAGACCCATCATTTATACAAAAGTGATTTTGATTCACTTAAGGTTGTATCTGACTAAATTTTGGCAAAATTCAATCATTCCAACAGAAGACAGGATTTTAAAGAATATGCTCTATTTCCCCGAATGGACCTCACCCTTTATTCCCAGGAGACAAAGACCCACCATTTATACAAAACTTAATCCTTTTTACCAAAAAATGCTTCAGACCAAATTTGGTCAAAATTTAATCATTCTTCGAAGATATAACCAAGAAAGTAAGTCCTAAGGGGTAGGGCCAGACCCTGGGTACAATTCCAATGTCATAATTGTGTTTTTTCATAATGAGAAATAATTCATACATTGTTATGGGGTTTGGGATCTCTTTAGTTTAATAGATATCATGTAATTACATAAAACAATATTGACCCCGCCCTACTACTTGACCCTTTGACCCAAGGGACATTACTTTTATAAATTCAAAAGAAGATGAATTGATCTTTTCAATTCAATATACTATCACTTTCATCTGTTTGTGGACATTTTTAATATAACCCCATTTTACCTATTTGGCACTGTCCCTCAGGCAATTTGTAGAAGTTAATATTTAGTTATTAAGTTGTTAAGTGGACAAACCGACAGCAGTCGATGTGGTATGGTATATGACCACACATGTGCCTTCCAGCCAGATCTGAAGAGGATGATTTAGGACAATTTCCTTTGACCAATCTTGTCCTTGTGTCACATTCTTCAATCGTATCACTTCGTCATCTCCCTGAATCTTGCCAATTTGTCACCACCCTGAATCCTGTCACTGTGGCACCTCCCTGAATCCTGTCACTGTTTCACCTCCCTGAATCATGTCACTGTGTCACCTCCCTGAATCCTGTCATTGTGTCAACTCCCTTAATCATGTCACTGTGTCACCTCCCTGAATCTTGTCACTGTGTCACCTCCCTGAATCCTGTCACTGTGTCACCTCCCTGAATCCTGTCACTATGTCACCTCCCTGAATCCTGTTACCGTGTCATCTCCCTGAATCCTGTCATTGTGTCAGCTCCCTGAATCCTGTCACTGTGGCACCTCCCTGAATCCTGTCATTGTGTCACCTCACTGAATCCTGTCACCGTATCACCTCCCTGAATCCTGTCACTGTGTCACCTCCCTGAATCATGTCACCTTGTCACCTCCCTGAATCCTGTCATTGTGTCAACTCCCTTAATCATGTCACTGTGTCACCTCCCTGAATCTTGTCACTGTGTCACCTTCCTGAATCCTGTCACCGTGTCACCTCCCTGAATCCTGTCACTATGTCATCTCACTGAATCCTGTCACCGTATCACCTCCCTGAATCCTGCCACCGTGTCACCTCCCTGAATCATGTCATTGTGTCACCTCCCTGAATCCTGTCCCTGTGTCACCTCCCTGAATCCTGTCACTGTGTCACCTCCCTTAATCATGTCACTGTGGCACCTCCCTGAATCCTGTCATTGTGTCACCTCCCTGAATCCTGTCAATGTGCCACCTCCCTGAATCCTTCAATGTGTCACCTCCATGAATCCTGTCACTGTGTCACCTTCCTGAATCATGTCACTGTGTCACTTCCCTGAATCTGTGAATGTGTGTCCTTCCTGAATCCTGTCACTGCGTCACCTCCCTGAATCATGTCAATGTGTCACCTCCCTTAATCCTGTCTCTGTGTCACCTCCCTAAATCCTGTCAATGTGTCACCTCCTGGAATCCTGTCACTGTGTCACCTCCCTAAATCCTGTCAATGTGTCACCTCCCTAAATCCTGTCAATGTGTCACCTCCCTTGAATCCTGTCAATGTGTCACCTCCCTGAATCCTGTCAATGTGTCACCTCCCTTGAATCCTGTCAATGTGTCACCTCCCTGAATCCTGTCAATGTGTCACCTCCCTGAATCCTGTCACTGTGTCACCTCCATGAATCCTGTCACTGTGTCACCTTCCTGAATCATGTCACTGTGTCACCTCCCTGAATCTTGTAACTGTGTCACCTCCCTGAATCATGTCACTGTGTCACTTCCCTGAATCCTTTCAATGTGTCACCTCCCGGAATCCCGTAACTATTCAATGAACAAGTCAAATCTGTGTGCATTAAATCAGACCTTACCTAAACCTTGGTACAATTCTTCATATTGGATTCTTTCACCATCTGGGCTTGTCAACATGGATTTAGGAATTCTGTAATTTCCTATTCCACGACGTGGGTCACCATCAAATTCAAATTCCATGAATCCAAAAATATCTGATCTGACACCAGTTTCAGTAAACGAGCCATCCATATCCTTTATGGAAGGGCTTCTATAGCCGTCACAGTCCATATCAACACAGTCTGTGGGATTAATCATCCTGTTAGTAAATAAAAAGTTTATAATATATACACATACCTGGTGTCAAATATTATACCTGGTGTCAAATATTATACCTGGTGTCAAATATTATACCTGGTGTCCTAATCTGTCACAAATTATACCTGGTGTCCTAATCTATCACAAATTATACCTGGTGTCAAAATCTATCACAAAGTATACCTGGTGTTCTGATATTTCACAAATTATACCTGGTGTCAAAATCTATCACAAAGTATACCTGGTGTTCTAATCTTTCACAAATTTTACCTGGTGTCCTAATCTGTCACAAATTATACCTGGTGTCCTAATCTGTCACAAAGTATACCTGGTGTTCTAATCTGTCACAAATTATACCTGGTGTCCTAATCTGTCACAAATTATACCTGGTGTCCTAATCTGTCACAAAGTATACATGGTATTCTTATCTGTCATAAAATTATACCTGGTGTCCTCATGTGTGGCAAATTATACCTGGTGTCAAAATCTATCACAAAGTATACCTGGTGTTCTAATATTTCACAAATTTTACCTGGTGTTCTCATCTGTCACAAATTATACCTGGTGTCCTAATCTGTCACAAATTATACCTGGTGTCCTAATCTATCACAAATTATACCTGGTGTCCTAATCTGTCACAAATTTTACCTGGTGTTCTCATCTGTCACAAATTATACCTGGTGTCCTAATCTGTCACAAATTTTACCTGGTGTTCTCATCTGTCACAAATTATACCTGGTGTCCTAATCTGTCACAAAGTATACCTGGTGTCCTAATCTGTCACAAAGTATACCTGGTGTTCTTATCTGTCACAAATTATACCTGGTGTCAAAATCTATCACAAAGTATACCTGGTGTCCTCATGTGTGGCAAATTATACCTGGTGTCCTAATCTGTCACAAATTATACCTGGTGTCAAAATCTATCACAAAGTATACCTGGTGTCCTCATGTGTCACAAATTATACCTGGTGTCCTAATCTGTCACAAATTATACCTGGTGTCAAAATCTATCACAAATTATACCTGGTGTCCTCATGTGTCACAAATTATACCTGGTGTCCTAATCTGTCACAAATTATACCTGGTGTCCTAATCTATCACAAATTATACCTGGTGTCCTAATCTATCACAAATTATACCTGGTGTCCTAATCTGTCACAAAGTATACCTGGTGTTCTAATCTGTCACAAATTATACCTGGTGTCCTAATCTATCACAAATTATACCTGGTGTCCTAATCTATCACAAATTATACCTGGTGTCCTCATGTGTGGCAAATTATACCTGGTGTCAAAATCTATCACAAATTATACCTGGTGTTCTCATCTGTCACAAATTATACCTGGTGTCAAAATCTATCACAAATTATACCTGGTGTTCTAATCTGTCACAAATTATACCTGGTGTCCTAATCTGTCACAAATTATACCTGGTGTCCTAATCTGTAATGAATTATACCTGGTGTCCTAATCTATCACAAATTATACCTGGTGTTCTCATCTGTCATAAATTATACCTGGTGTCCTAATCTATCACAAATTATACCTGGTGACCTAATCTATCACAAATTATACCTGGTGTCCTAATCTATCACAAATTATACCTGGTGTCATATTTCACCTCCAAAAGTCCTACATTATGTATCCTGACATCCTGCTGTTGAATCATAAATTTTTTGGGGTCATAAAAAGAAGCTCGCATGGTTCAGTCTACTAAAATACTTGATCTAAACAAAAGGAAAAGTATTCAAAAGATCTATTTTCTGTAGAAGGACCCACCATAAGGGGCAGATACCCGTCAATGATTCAAAATTGATTCCCCTTCAGCAAAGAATGCTTTAGATCATATTTGGGCAAATTTCAGTAATTCTTCCAGGAGTTGGATTTTAAAGAATTTGCTCTATTTCCCCTATTAGACTCCATCCTTCCCGACCCAGGGGGCGGAGACCCACCATTTACACACATTCTTATTACCCAATGATGCTTTTTATCATGACTAATAGCATTTTGTATATGAAGTCAAATTACCCTATATAACAGTCATTAGATCAAGCCTTTTCTGAAAACCTTTCTTTTGGACGATAACTTACGTAATGGATGGGATTTTAAATCCTGTTTTAGAATCCAAATCTGTATTATACCACTTTGTTGAAGAAGCTTTCAATGGGTGGGCAAAATCATCGTTGCTCGGAGCTGTGGTTATAGCTACTGCCCTATATCCTTCGCATTTATCAGAGTTATAATTGGCAAATGTGTTCCCTGTCAAGACAAAATTTAATATAAAATACAACATAAACATTCCAGATTAAAACAGAAAAATCTAAAGTACAAGAAAACACAAGAACAAGGGTCGTCAGAAACTGGTTACGCTGCCTGAATGGGACAAAATTTAAGTATGAAAATGTACAAAGGGCAATAACTCCTATATTATGCAAAAGAGAGTTCGGGTTACTGTACACTTGTTGAGATCTACCTATGAATTTTATGTTGATACCTCTTATAATTTTATATTATGTTTCGGACAAAATAATGACAGACGGACAGACAAATCAGTGACTACATGTTCTTTTTGGAAGCATTTAGCATTTCGCATAAAATTTTACATGTACATTTTGCACTGTGACTTTCCATTAATTTGATATTAACCTGGATTGTATTCATACATTCTACATCACAAGACAAAAATAAGATGTCCTCATGTTTCCAGGTTGACCTACAAATATATGTTAATGCTCTCCTTGTTGCATCAGTTAACACACTCTTTATCCCTTTACAGTAATCTTCTGGATAACCATGAAGCTCTTCCAATGCATTATACATATAAGGGAAACCATTTTAATTTGATTAATACTTTAATATTATATCTGAAATGTGAAAATAACCATTTAACAGTTGCTAGTTTATATTCAAAGCCAATATAAATGCAATCATCAAATATGTCATTATAACTTATTGACTATGAATGCTGTCTTAAAAGACGTCATTATAATTTATTGACTATGAATGCTGTCTTAAAAGACGTCATTATAATTTATTGACTATGAATGCTGTCTTAAAAGACGTCATTATAATTTATTGACTATGAATGCCGTCCTCAAATACGTCATTATAATTTATGGACTATGAATGCCATCCTAAAAGAAGGCATGATAATTTATCTATTATTTTTTTTATTTCACTCATGAGAAATATAGATAATTATGGATGTTTTAACACAAAAGATATGCTACCTCAAATCGATACAACCAGTTGAAGTTAGAAACGCATTTAATGGATAACCCAGTGAATCTAATGTTTGCCATTATAACAAGAAATGTAAAGATTAAAGATGTGGCAGCCATTGACGACGTTCCAACTTTAATAATGGGTATGCTCACTTGTTAGTATTTGTTGTTGCAATGGGATTTTATTCAATATTTCCGAAACCGACTTGTGCACAACAGGTACAATCTCTGCAGGATTTGCATGTGTTGGAATGTGCCAATCTGTCCTGTCCCACAAATGCTTTAATGGCAAAATATCGTGATGGTATGGGGACTTAGGTTACATGTTTACGTTGTTTTTTGCATTGATCGTCTATTTTAAATCATGCTTATTACATGACACCAAGAATAGTCTTGTTGAAAAAAAAATTACATTGTGCTGGTCAATAAGCAGCACAACAAATTGCAGTACAGCATCAAGTCTTGGCCAAAAGTTTACCTTGGCATCAAAGCACACTCCAACATGCACCCATCTTGACAATACAGCGTAAATCTCGACTCATAAGAAAAGAATATTCTGCATCATAAGGAACACACTTGGATGGTGTTCTCGGAGCCAATGGCTTCTGACCTTGCTGCAGTCGTCAAAGTGGAAACCCCACTGTAACATGGCAAAATGCCCTAGAGATGCCCCTGCACAGTATCTTGTCTTGTGCATGGTCTTTGTATATCCCTGATTTCTGAGTTGCAGTTTTTTGTGCAGTTCTAAACTGGGTGTACAAACGCTGAAACCTCATGAAACATTCCTGCTGAGGCACAGCAACCTTCCGAAGGGCTTTCCTAGCTAGGGCAGTGGGTAGTTGTACTAGTCAGTCTTTGTTGTCTAGACTGCTTTGATATTGAGCCTTTGTTGACAATTACAGCTCGGGCTATAGCATTTCGTTTGTTTCTAGCCAATAGTCACTGAACTGCACTGTCTCATTCATCATTATTTGACCTCAGCATCCTTTACATATTCATAAACAAATTGTGATATCAGACTATCAAATATATCGAAGCAGAGAATGCTGCCATGTGTATTTATGCAGGGACATCTGTTTTTAAAGAAAATTTTATAACCAAATATTAAGGAAGAGGGGAACCTCCAGTTATAAGAACCTAGTGTTAATGTTGAAACTATGAACATGACAGAAAGAAATTTTAGTTCTAAAAATATAAGAATCTTACAAATTTAATCAGACTTTATTTACTTACCTTTCATTGTTAAATTACAGCCGATGGAATTGTAGTTCATAATCTTATTTAAAGGTTTGTCAGGAGAATTATTTGTTCCACTTGTACAAATTGGCAATGATATACCAAAGTAATCGTGTGGCCTGGCACTAAATCCAGGTGCAGTACCCTCCACAGAAACTCTGTAATAGCCTGCGGAAGTGTCAACCAGGTTGTTTGTACAATCAGTATCACCCAAAGAGTACCCAACGAACAGTGAATCTTCTATTTCCGCGCTTTGATCATAATCAAACATGTGTTCAACAGATGGTGGACCAATCAAAAATGTGAATATACCGAATCTGTCATCCACTAACGTATTGTTAGAAAGTTTGATACTTATAGTATGTCTGAAAGGAAAAAAAGTTGGATAAGTCTGAAATTGTTAGCATTTAACACAAGAATTACAAGTTATTATAAATGGTCCTCCCTTTTCCACATCAGTATCAAACCAATATGTATGGAGAGAGTTTCGTTTAGAGCTAAACAGAAAACTTAACATAGCACAATTTATTATCAAAGTTGAATTAACAGTAAACTGTAGGTGAAATTCAGGATCTGAAATATTTGAGGAATTCTGCTACACAAAAGATAAATATATACAAATTCTAGTCATGACAGTTTATGTTCTTGAAGAGAAATAAAACTGAACACGAAGCTAGACAGAAAACTTGACATCTGCACAGTTAATCACCAGGTTACTTATTTTAACTAACAATACACTGTAGGTGAAAAACCGAATATGATATGTGTATTGAAATGATCACATATATGTAACTCTGGTAAAATACTAGCCACAATATACCACTCGGCTAGAGAGAACTTCTCTTTAGCTCGATTGGTTGAGCATCAGACTAGTAAGCCAGGGGTCTCCGGTTCAATTCCTAGTGGAGGCATTGAGATGAAAAATGACCTCTGTTACATTGCGCCCATGTAGTGACCCGGGAAAAGTACTTAGCCATGCCCCACCAGCGTCGCAGTGACCCCTGGAAACTCAAGGATGAGTTATTTCCTGGAGGGGGAGTATGTAACCCTGGTAAAATACTAGCCGCAATATACCACTTGGTTACAGAGAACTTCTCTTTAGCTCGATTGGTTGAGCATCAGACTAGTAAGCCAGGGATCCCGGGTTCGATTCCTAGCAGAGGCATTGAGATGAAAAATGACCTCTGTTACATACACATATAAATATATTTTTGGTTTGGTATTGAAAGCTTGAATATTTCAATAGAAAAAAAGTTCTTCGCTTAATTTTTTATCAATTAACTTAATCGTGTTCCTTCATACATAATAAAACAGCAAAACAAAAACAAAAAAACACAAAACAAAGTAAGGGTGGAAATTTAAGGGTGAGACAGTGGTTTCACTTAAGCATATGGCCATAGTGAAGTGCAGCATTTCACTAATGTCTTATTGATTCCAAAGTTTATATAGACCAAAACTAACAAAAACATTTTGTTTGCCGTACAACCACAAAACCAACAATGATGTTTTAATATTAACATATATTCATCCATCATTCATACAAAATTCTAAAGTTTATTCTTTTGAGATTTCCTAAAAGAAAACCTCAAAAGTTTGACAAAGTTGACATATGCGCCATATTTTAAATGGCCTTCAGTTTGCAGAGGCATCTTAAATCTTGCGAAATTCAAGTCCAGTGTGTGATACACTGATACTAGGCGGAAGTCCTTTATGCTTAACGTTCCACAAAGCTTTGTTATTTTTTAATTACTATGTATAGAGGGACTTAATTAAGCAAACAGATAAGAAATTAAGCGAAGAAACATCAACTGAAATCAAAGTATAAAAGAGGGGATGGTAGGAGGGCGGGGGGGGGGGGGGTCACTATAACTTTGGTTCATTTCACCATTATGGTATCTTGACCCCCCCCTTTTCACCTTGCCTCACAATACCATGTTTCATCGGTTCATTTGCTAGGTGAACAGCCAGGGTCATTCTGAGGCAGAGTGTCCCTGTAGTCATTGGACCTCACTGAACAGAATGTCATCCTAAGCTATTAGGGTAAAGTGTCTTGATCAAGGGCATAATTAAAAGAAGCACAGAACTAATATGTGATTCTGTTTCTCATCAGAAGTACAAATGCCACGGATAGGGAGTGTCACACTCAACACATCTCAGACCTTCACCTGAGGTTCCAGAGTCCAAGCCATTATAGACTGATGGACTTGATGACAAGACAGCATGTATATTAATATATGACACTTCTATACTTGCTCCCATTTTGCATAAAATCAAACTATGTAGAAGGAGAGTGAAGACAACAATTCACGATTTATTCGTGCATCAAGTTGTTGACATGTTTCGTGTCCAAGTGACCTGTCCTCAGAACAACAATAACAGATTATTACTCCATCATTACGGACTAAAACAACGTAGATTGGTGACGTCATGAAAGCAACATAGCATAGTGATGTCATGAACAGTGAATAGAAAGAATGACGTGATCATTAGTCCTACAATAACAGAAATAGGCCAAATCAAACTATGTGTTTATGTACTTACGTGTTAATGTACATTCCATAAAGATAGATCTTGTATAGAAAAAAGTTGGAGAACTGGTATTTTCCATATTCCCAGTTTGAAACCGTATTTGGAAAAAGCATAATTCCCATCAACGAAGAGTGACAGGTATTATCAGACCATGCTGGGATAGGACTTCCTGGAATCACAGGTTCAGCGCCTCCATAGATGCAAGCTCTCTCCGAAGACGACATGGAATTTCCCGAAAGCCACATATTTGTGGCTTCTTCTGGGTTAATATGTAAAAGGCCATCCACATTAATGTTACTAGCCTCATATCGGTTATTATAAGTTCCAGGAAATTGGAATCCAAGCATCAAATTAGAGTTTATTCTGACACGGTCCGCCGAGATCCAAAGTGCTAAAATATGAAAAGGAATACAAAGTATGGTAAAGACAAAGACAAACAAAGCTTACATACACAAGGCCAAAACAACAAAAATTATTGCTTAAATGTACTTCACACTATCTAAATATCTGGTAACATCGAAAGTGAAGAACTGCACTAAACAACCATGTTGTAGTAACACTTGCCTTATAAAACAAGAAAGATATTTCTGTGCACCATCCAGGTTTCCACATTTTTTAATCACTTTGGGTTATTCTCATCACCTTCTACATTTTGTAAATTCTTAAATTTTTTAATAGTGATTATTCAGTAAAATTTGAATGCACTTAATTTAGTATATTTACGGAAAAAGTGTTACATGAGTGGGAGGTACCCGGTTTGTGTATCAAACCCTAACTGACTTGTCCTGCAATGCCACCCAGGTTACAAATTTGAAATCGGAAGGAGTAAAGAAAAACATTCTGTTGGTCTTTCAATTAGTAACTCTTGGTTAGACATTTAATTACTAGACTGAAGGGAAATTCCAACTCAAATCAAGGATAGAAAGACAGTTTACCCACAACTTCTGTATATTGTAACTAGAAATTAAGTTTTGTTTTGTAAATCATCTGACAAGTGTGACGAGTACTAGCACTGATGTACATAGTGCATAAAATGGTAAGAAATTGACGTTTTTCCGCTAATCAAAAGTAGTGTTAGGAAATGGCAAATAGATTATAGACGAAAACATACTATATATACAATGGTAACAATGTATAGTCGATTCAGTTACAATTTTAGTACGCTCTACGCTGGTCATTTGTCAGATGGATGTGAATTTGTCGTCATCGAAACATCACTCTCTAATCGTCTACTAGTTACAAGAATTACTATTCTACTGACATAATCAACCTGTGGAAAATTTTCGGAAATATGTAGCAGATACATTTGTTGGTTTGAGATTTTGTTAAAAAAAAGTATAAGGCTATTTCCTTCATTGGCAAATGCCTTGATACATAAATATTTTCTACAAATTTCTGTAAAATTAATATACTGTAGCACCTAAAATTGAGGACCAGTTAACATGATGTGATACCATTTAATGGTATAATGCATTTAGTCAAAAACATCAACCAGTTTGTAGGCAAAATATGTAAGATTGTACAACTGTTGACAGTTGGATGACACTAGTTGACCGAGTGATGCCATATGGTGGGCTGATGTGGTGAACCCTCATCAAAATCAATGAACACAGGGTGGTCAGGTGGCGCTATGGAAACCCAGTCACCTTTAATCTAGACATCAAAAGGTTTGATTCCAATAATGGACGTGAAATTGGGGTCACCTGTGCAATCATATGGTTGTTTCCTAAGTTCTCAGGTCTACATCAAAAGTATGACCCCTTGTGCACTTCCATCCAGGCCAACAAAAGTGATAAGTTGGAAAAATTATTTCAGGATTGTTATTAGATACATATAAAGTTTAATAATTTTTTTTTTTTTCATTAAATTTTCATCAAAGTCAATGTTGGCATGTTTTGACAACATCATTACTTACAAGATCCAACACTATAGGAGAACACATTCTGTTCGATGAACAAATTATCAGCGCCTATAGCCATCAAGGACATGCCAGAACTGTTCTGAAAACTGCATCCAACGACAAAGCTAGGCTTATCAGGATTTGAAGCATCCCCAGTGTCCTTAAACACAAGTGCTTGTCGTGGGTCATTGGGATCTGTATAACCTAGCTTACCCAGGCGTTGAAACTGTACGCCAGAAATTCTGGCGTATCCTGTATGAAAAACATATAAGACAGTGTTAAACTATTGATTTTTTAATTGTTTCATTGGTTTAAATTTTCACTAAAGTTTTAAAGAAAAACAAGCTTTTTGATGAATTGGTCTCGTCATTCTAAGACTCACCTTGTATCAAATAGTCTTCATACTGAACTTGGCTGACAATAATATGCCCCCCATATGCTTCTGCTTGCATATTGTCATAAGGTTTTGATTCCACTCGAATGTTGCGAGTAATCCTTCCCACCTCACCAGCCATGATATAAAACTGCCCATTGTCAAATGTCTCTTTTGTGTCTGGAAATCAACCATTTGAAAAATGAAATCAATTTACTGAAATAAATATATGAAAGTTGATTGAATTGCATTTCATCACAACAGTGAGGGAGTTACCTTGTATAATGCTGAATTTAATATACACACAGTACAATATTCTAACAAACATTAAGAAAACAAGAGGTCCATGCACCTTAACAGTCATTTAATGATAAAAACCTAAAATTCTGTGTATTCCAATTTATTTGCGGCCATATTGGATTTCTGACTGTTCAGAAATATTACAACACTTGGTCAGAACCATCCTATTGGAGAACTTGAGAAGAAGTCTGAAAGAGGTGCAGGGAAACCATGAGTTTGCAATCCTGTTTCAAAATGGCCACTGCTGTGGCTGCCATATTGAACTTTTTTATGAGGCAGAAAACTAACAACACAGCTTTTTTCCTTAGTTTCCCTACAAATTTTCTGTTCACTGCCACAAGAGGGAACTTGAGAAGGTATTTAAAAAAAAATCTCCCAGACAGCATATTTGGATATAGGACCAACCCAAAAAATAACAACACTAATTTATGCCGATCTCAGGATCATAAGGAAATTTGGCTAGCTATTAGGTGTGAGAGTTATGTCCCCTAATTTGGTATGTGATACTTCAATTAAGTATCTGTCTTTCAGGTTTTTCTCGTGTACTGAAATGAATATTCCTTACTAAAGAAACAAGCCTTCAACATGGTATTTTCACGCTATTATTGTTACATAGATAGCGTGTAAAGGAACAAACATACTGCCACTAATTCAGTTATACACGTGGTGGAGCTAATCATTTACCTTATTCTGTCTTTCTATAATGCAGAGTTATCTGCTCTTGATCGTAATATGTAATTAATGAGAAAATTATGTATACAAGTATTTACATCGTATTCTCATAATAATACTCTCACAAATACATAACATAACAATTAACACTTGCTCACAAGAGCAGATAACTCTGCATTACAAAAAATGGGAATCGCAAGACAAATCAGACGAATGACAATACACAACACATTAGCTGGTAGGAAAGTGGAATTCTTCTAAAAAGTAGTTCTAACAAGTATACTGAAAAATTTCCATCCTTAAGGAATATTTGTTCAGATGAATATTGCATGTATGTGATACTCGTATTTAAATGAAATAGCCTCCCCACCTAACTTGTACCAAAATGATAAAAATACTCTGTAATATAATACCATCACTTAAGGTGTATAGCATTGTTCTCTCCTTTGTAATACACCAGGTGTAATATCTACGTAGGGGCTATGTAACATTTTGTAATATATTTGTTAAACATACCAACAGAAAACACACACAGAACATTACGATTATACAAATGATTGCAATATTGATTTTAAGACAACAAAAGAATGCAATTAAGAAAGTCAGCTTAATTAATGAATTGTGCTGGTTGTCTTAACAGGTCAAATTTTTTCATGAATTTCATTTAAAAAAAAAATCAAATTATATCTAAACAAATTGAAAATTTTGTGACTTGGATTTAAAAGGACATCAAATATATATGTTTCATAATTTTACACATTAAAATTTTCAGGAACACTGTTTTAATGTACCTTAAAATAACGAAAATATTGTCGACATAAAAAGAACCAGCTTCGTGGAATTTTAATACATAGCAATCTATCGAAAATTACTATAAACAAGTGACTATTCAAAATCTTGGCAATTATGGTCAGTTATAATAGAGATTAATTAAATACATACACAAGTGGTCATACATCAGTGTTTCCTTCAGAGTTAGAATTGAAAAGCTTTCACCCTGATCATTGACTGAATTCTGTATCGCTTCTATTGTTGCATATTCAGCCTCCTCTATCTTGAATCTAGTTGCTGTGATGATGACCTCATCATTTACGTTCCAGTCAACAACTTCAGCTAAATACATGGTTTTACTACCAGCGAGGGCAGTTCTGGTTATGGTTGTCCATGTTCTAATGTTGGTCAAACCATTCAACATCAATGCTCCAAACACAGCTACAAAAAAAAAGGGAAAGAGACTCCAATTTTTTTTTTTTTTTTTTGATTTTCAAAATTTTACTTCAATAAAAAAAAAACACATTGATTTTCATAGAAAAACAATATGTATGACACATTTTGTATATTTCTCTGGTTTTTCAAAGAGCTTTTTTGTTTTAACTTTGAAAATTACAAGAGAGAACACCATAATTTGATAAACTTTGCTGTTAAGTCATCTAATCTGTTTCCATTGGACAAGGTGAGATAAAAATTTCCAATTCCAAGTTGATTCCAGGGAAAGATTTACGTTGAGGTATTGTGTAGTTGCTAAGTCTAGGTCTTTATATGAACAGATGACTTAACAACAAGAGGGACAATTCATTTCTTTTTAAGTGACCGGACGTGAGATTCTGACAGAATATTGAAATAGCATTAGATTTCAAATTTTCAACAAAACATGGCCATGGTAAAGTGAAGCACTTGTCATATTTTCTGACTAATTTACTTTGTTTAGCAATTGTTTTGCTATTTGCCCTGATTCAGTCATATAAACACAAAAATAACGAAAATAAGTCTGGGGGTGACGAAATTTAGGGTGAGCCTCACCTGCCCCACCCTAGCAGTGTCATATAGTTAGAGGCCCTACCTAATTTCAGATATGGTCAAATATGGTGGCCTCCTCTAGAGATTTGAATTTATAGCTGGTAACAGAGGACAGATCTCTGCAGGTGGCTTGTGTAAAATGTCAAGGTTTTTCCATTAAGTCTGTATTTACTTTCACTTGTAAACTTCCGGTTGTTATTTCTGAAGGCGATCTGAGATGCCCTTTAACATTGTAAATCATACTTCTTGTTGTCTTTTGACACTAATTTGATACTAGACAGTTTCCTTTTGTGTTGAACTTCAGTTTTAATGTAAGCAACTTACATGTAAGATAACACAAGAGGCCAATAGGCCTTAATGGTCACCTGACTTGAATTTTTGTTTTGAACAAATGACAAACACAAACTAAACAAAACTGCCTAATACAATATCTAGTGTACAGATTTTAAAACATTTGACCCCTTGTGACCTTGAAAGTGGTTCAGGGTCATCCACTTGAACACAAATGGTAGCCTTTCATTCCAGCATGAAACAGGCCCAATATCAGACCTGTGGGCTTTTGGTTATTAAGAAGAAGTCATTTTATGATTATAATCAATTTGACACCTGTGACCTTGAAAATGGGCAAAGGTCATTCAATTGAACAAATTTGGTAGCCTTTCATCTCACCATGCTACAGGCCCAATATCAGAACTCTGGACCAATTGTTTATTGAGAAGAAGTTGTTATTGAGAAATCATTTGAAGATTTTAATGCATTTGACCTCTGTGACCTTGAAAGTGGGTCAAAGTCATTCACTTGAACAAACGTGATAACCCTTCATCCAAGCATGATATAGTCCCAAATTCAAAACTCTGGGCCTTTCAAGAAGAAAATGTTAATTGTTTATGACTGATGATGCTTACCACCTTGTGGACTTATATCGTCTCAGGTGACCTAAAAGGGGATCACAATAGGTCAGACTTATATTGTCTCAGGTGACCTAAAAGGGCATCACAATAGGTCAGACTTATATTGTCTCAGGTGACCTAAAAGGGCATCACAATAGGACAGACTTATATTGTCTCAGGTGACCTAAAAGGGGATCACAATAGGTCAGACTTATATCGTCTCAGGTGACCTAAAAGGGAATCACAATAGGTCAGACTTATATTGTCTCAGGTGACCTAAAAGGGGATCACAATAGGTCAGACTTATATTGTCTCAGGTGACCTAAAAGGGGATCACAATAGGTCAGACTTATATTGTCTCAGGTGACCTAAACGGGAATCACAATAGGTCAGACTTATATCGTCTCAGGTGACCTAAACGGGAATCACAATAGGTCAGACTTATATCGTCTCAGGTGACCTAAAAGGGAATCACAATAGGTCAGACTTATATTGTCTCAGGTGACCTAAAAGGGAATCACAATAGGTCAGACTTATATTGTCTCAGGTGACCTAAAAGGGGATCACAATAGGACAGACTTATATTGTCTCAGGTGACCTAAAAGGGAATCACAATAGGTCAGACTTATATTGTCTCAGGTGACCTAAAAGGAAATCAAAATAGGTCAGACTTATATTGTCTCAGGTGACCTAAAAGAAAATTGATTGATTTATGTGTAGGTAGATGAGGATTACAATGATATACAGCATGACAAAATGGTCGACGAAGCAATCCCTAGTCGAGATGCAAAGTGGAATATGTCTCACGATATGTATAAGTATTGTGTAGTTTTGAAGAACAATTTTTTCTAACTGGTTGTGATGTAAGTACATGTAAATGCAAAGAGATACCAGACTTTGATTACTTTACCTGTCTTACAATAAGCCCACACACATGTAGAATTGAGGTTTTTTATGATGTGAGACATCCCCAATGATTCCCATTCATTTGAGTAATAATATGAACGAACAAGCCAAACAATGGTAATTATAACTGAAATGAAATATTTAAAACCGTTGATGCCATATAACTGATTGTTTTTGTGGGGATATTTGTTCTATTTCATTTAATACATTTTATACAATTAATATGATATTGATAATCAAATCTGTAAAATAAAGAGATAATTGGGCATTAGATGACCCATTACATCCAGATTGTGATATTTCAATTCAAATTTTAAATCAATTTTTAAATCAAAATTTTGAATTAATTCTTAAATTAAAATTTAAGAAGATTTGATGTGATCTTTTTAAAACAAAATTGCAAAAATTTTGACCCTGTGAAAATTATCAGCAATATAGTGGATTATTTTCCTGAAATAAGCCCACCCCCTGACATTGAGTCAGACATGATGCATTGTACTGATCTTGAAGGTTTATAATATGAGAAAATAAGTACTCACCAATAAATTTTGACCCTAAAGTAGGTGTTCTGTGTCCAACAGGATTTTGAAATACTGGTGTATTGATGTCACCTTTTAAGCTGATAACGACTGATCCCGTGAAAGGGTTAGCCATATCACAACCAATTATAAACCTTCCTTTAAAGATGTATATGTAAGTTGCAGTGATCTCAATTCCCTCAGCTTCTTGCTTAACTTCCAATGATCCATAGATATGAAGCTCGTTAAATACTGGAGGACTAGTATCCAGCACCCACCATTCATCTTGCAAAAACAAAAAAAAAAGGTTAAAAATGTAAATATGGGACATGTTTTCAATCTCCTTGTACTTTTTCAAAAATCTTAATGTGATTGGTCTCTGATAACCGATTTCATATGTTGGACTTATGTCAGCATGTCAGCAGCTAGCAGTCCTGTTTTGTATGTATGCATTATGATTAAACCGTCCTGCCCACCAGCCCTTGGGGGTCAATCAGGAGCAAAATGGGCATAACATCAGCTTGCACCCTTCACTCAATTCTAATCAAGTCTGAAATATTTCCAATGGAAATTACACAAATTATGCTAAAAAAACTAGTTTTCTATATGAATTATAGTAAACTTTACCCCCTCCCCATGGGGAAATGTGAAACCCTGGGGCCATTAAAATCATAATTTAATAATAAGCAGCCTGACTCTTCGGGTAGGATGACCTGAACATCATGAATTTGTTTTCATTTATGAAACTTGTCAAAATTGAAAAATTCTTAAACTCATTTCATAAATTGCAAAAGTAAACTGAATGATACATTGATTTTTTTTAACTTTTTCTGTAATAAAATGTTATCTAGAGTTCCAAGGAAATGCTTGAAAACCCATGGCGGTTTGCTTCTCAGGAAACCCAGAAAAGAACTGTTAATAGTTATGTTCATGTCTTTAAGCAAGACATATTCCCATATTTTCATGATGACATCTGATTTGCCTCCTGCATGTTGTTCAGTGACAAAATGACCGACTTACATCAGGACAACAAACCTAGCACACAAATATGAATCATTGTTGCCTGGATACACAGAACCCACTTCCCATTTGATAATATTTTAATATTTGAAACAAGTTTTTTTTTTTTCTTCTTTTCGGTTAGTGTTTTATCTATGTCTAAATCTGACATATGGTTTTAGAGTACTCAACATCACTTTGCATGTTAGAAAATAGAAAAAGTCTGTTAACAATGACAGATATTGTTTGTTGTAAAATAATTGGCACGGCTGATTTTGGGGCCACGGTGGCCAAGTGTTTAAGAGTCTGACTGCATGACCTTTCCACATTGGGTCAAACGTTCGAGACCTAGATATATGTGGGGCAACCACCAGGTACTGACCATAGGTCAGTCTACTCTGACTATTCTCCATCACCTAAACCTGGCACATCCTTAAATGACCCTGGCTGTTAACAGGACATCAAAAATAATAGACAATCAACTCTGATGAATGGAGTCACTGGAATTAAAGGATGTAGAAAAACAGTTTAAGAAAAAGCTAGTAGCATAAAATCTTTGGACCTCACAGCCATACCTTCAGGGACAAGAACATTATCATTGTCAGTGGGCGGCATACATGTTGAATCGTCCTCATTCCAAGTATAGCAATTTTGCCTTTGCACATTTCCCCATTCAATTTCAGACCACATTGTGGGGTTTTCTCCAGTACACACCGGAGCAATGCTGTTAGGGTCCACTGGTTCACAATCTTTCAGAGCACACTTAAAGGCGTTGATGAAGAGTTGGTCTTTTACGTTTCTGCTCTGATTTTTGTTCCAGCTCACTACAAATGCAACATAAAAAGAAATCTTACTTATACTGGAACAGCTTTCATTTTTGATATTTCAAATTTTTGTGGTTTTGGTAAAAAAAACAATTTTAAGAGCAAAATCAATGAATTTTTCTCATGAAAATATGCAAAGGACTGAGATTTTTCCATCCATCTTATTTGTCACATTTTTTCGCAATTCTAGTCCATTTATGGAAATAGTGAAATCAACCTTTTGAAAACGACAATATTCCACTAGTTTTATATGTACACCACTTTGATAATAAGGCTAGCAACAACAGATCATGTGATGTATTGCTGCCAAGTATTGAATTTAAAGTTGTTTACAGGAACAATTGACAAAGTTCAGCTGCAATAACCAACTTTAAAATAGTAAAACTGTTCTCATTTCATTCTGATAAACACTACCATAAAATTTCAACCCTTGACCTTTGTAAGCAACATTGAATTTAGGTCAACTTTCATTCATAATTTCATGACAAAAGAAATCAAATTAAGAGGCTCAAGAGCCCTAACATGACCTTGTTAACAGAATAAGGTACATGTGATGCAATGATAAGTAATCAAATTATGCTCAAAAATATCATTTCCAAAATGTTATGGTATTTGATCAGGACCATCTCAGGACCATATTTAGGAAAGTTTCAGCTGAATCTCACTAATGCAAGTTGGGAAGAAACTTGAATGTCAAAAAATTTATGCACACAATGTCAGACAAAACACAAAGGAAACAATTTATCGTGACACTCAGGGTCACATGACCCAATAGCAAAATAGTGGCAATTGTTTTTCTGAAAGTTATGCCATAAATTAGGAATCTGCCACTTCATGTTAGGAGGAATCTAATCTTTCTAATGTGAAGAAGCATTTTGAGACAATGATCTTACCAAGGTAGCAGAAATTTTTCTCAGTTTCATCATAATACCAATCCCCATCTAAATTGACATTTGGGTCCAGCGGGTGGCTTGAACTCGGCCACCATTCACTTCCAATATAGTAATAGAACCTGTCTGGCATGGTCTCTAGCACTTGACATATAATGACGTAGGTATACGGCTGAAAATAAAGTACGGCAACATCAACTACAGAACACGACTCCAAGGGGGATATCAACAATCTACACTGATTTTGTATCAGTCTATTAATGAAATACTGTTTTTACAAATGATGCAAAACGTTTACCAGGTATATTAAGTAAGGTGATTAACAGAATCTTAAATTTGTTTATGTTTCTTGTATGAGTTATCATACAATGCTCGTTTGACATGGAAAGTGAAAAATTCTATGATTGGCTCCATTCTTTATTAATATCATGAATTCTTGGATATCTAGGACTGAAGATTATTGCTTTAAAAATGTTTTACAAGGTCATTTACACAACCCAATGTTTGTTTCTGTTCAGAAATCAGACACATTCTAAATCTGAGGACAACTTACAGCTAAACTAAACACAGTATTCTCCATCCTCCACATATACATTAATTGTTTTAATTTCAGACCCAGTGACCTCAACGTTTTATGAAAATTTTATTTTGAATTTCTTTAGACCTGCAATATTTTCACTTTGTTAAGCCCAATTCTCCTTACAATGTACCTGAATTTGAGCTATGGCACATTACACGATTGTGTGATGTAAGGTGACACATTTACCACTGAAACTAAATTTTTTCAAAAGAGAAAAATAAGCCCCTCACAAATACATTTACATATGTAAGAATATGGTCAATAATGTTTTGTTTTTGTTTCATTGAGATTAGTTTCAACGTTTAGAAGTCTGTACAAGATGCCATTTTTTTTGCTTCCATGTCAACCAAATGACATCTGATGACTTAGACTAGTAATAAACAAATTTTTAGAACAATTGCAGTTTCCATTACCTTTCAAATACAAAAATTCATTCAAATTGATCTACAGATTAAAAAAAAACCAAGAGACCCCATTGGTCTGCATTGCTCCCCTGTTATTCAGTATTCAATGTTCATGAAAAATAGAATTGGTGTTAATATCACAACTATAATGACATATACACCATTGGCATTCACAGTGGGCACATCCAATCAATTTCATTCAATTTCAACAACAACAAAGATATCCTAATTTTCACCTCTAAACAGTGACAGGTATGACCCGGATTGTAAGTAAATGCCTGATCGTTTTTCTTAAATTTGATTACGCTTTGACCTAGAAATACCTTTCCACCAAATGTAATGCTTCCCAGACTTTTGGGTTACCAGAAACATTTTTTCCAGGTTTCAAAAATGTTGATCCCTGTGACCTTCAATATTGGTTAAGGTCATGTCTTTTTGCAAATGTTAGGCATCATCCTAGGAACCTGTCAGCCAAATACCATGCTTCTGTGCCTTCTGGTTAGTCAGGAGAAGTTGTTTACAGGTTTTAACAAATTTGATCCCTGTGATATTGAGTAAAGGTCAAGGTCTTTTCTCTTTGCCAACCTTGTCAGACTTCATCCTCGAAACCTATCACCAAAATGCCATGCTTCTGTGACTTTTGGTTCGTCAGAAGATGTTTTAATGCTTTAACAAATTTGACCCCAGTGACCAATGGTCAAGGTCATTTCTGTTCCTAAAACTTTGTTGAGAATTATCCTAGAAACCTATCTGCCAAAAACCATGCTTTTGCATTACCGCTTGGAAGAAGTCATTTACAGTTTTAACAAATTTGACCCTTGTGACCTTGAATAAGTGTCAAGGTAATTTCTTTTTCGCAATTTTGTCTGGCTTCCTACTAGGAACATACCAGCCAAATATCATGCCTCTAGGCCTTTCAGTTAATGAGAAGATGTCGTTTAAATGTTTTCACAAATTTGACCCTGGTGACATTGAGGTCAAGCTCATTAATTTTCGCAAACTCTGTGGGGCTTTATCCGAGGAACATACCAGCCAAATATCATGGCCCTTTAGTTAATGAGAGGAAATCATTTAGATTTTTAAACAAGAAGGCCACCGCCCTAAACAGTCATCAGACAATCTACGAATAGATGAACAAACCACAGAATTTGTTGATGGTGGTCTTACAAATCTGAAGAATTCAAATTTTGAACATTCCTTGTGAGTATCAGACATTTAGACATTCTTTTGAAAAAATAAATGATAATCTTTACCTGCCAAATCCAATATGGCTACCTGGAAGACATTCTGTTTCCTCTGATCAAAGGGAACATACTTATGAAATTTGAGAAATATCCAGTCAGTACTTCTTCAGAAATAGCAATAACAATCTTTACTTGGCAAAATCTAAGATAGCTGCCTGTCGGTCATTTTGTTTTTCTGATCAGTTCTAAAATTACATGGGCACAATAAGGGGAATTGACATATCAAATCTGAGAAAGATCAATCGAGTACTTCTTAAGAAATAGCAATAACAAACTTTTAAAGTTAAAATACAAGATGGCTGCCTGTCAGCCATTTTTTTTTTTTTTTTTATATACCCAAAATAAAACAGGCACAACTAGAGACTAGGGGGAACATACAAATGAAATTTAAGAAAGAACCATCAAGCACTTCTCAGGAAATAGCGATAACAAACTTTCAAAGTCAAAATCCAAGATGGCCACTCTTCAGCCATTTTGTTTTTCTTATAAGTTCCAAAATTACATAGGCACAACTAAACAACAAGGGGAACTGACATATGAAAATTAGAGAGACCTATTCAACACTTTAAAAGAAATAGCAATAATAAACTTCATTGAAAAAATCCAAGATGGCTGTCTGCCGGACACTTATTTTTTTATCAGTCCCAAAATCAAACGGGCAAAACTAGGGACTAAGGGGAACCTACATATGCAATTTGAGAAAGATCCATCCAGGATTTCTCAAGAAATAGCAATAACAAAAATTGTTTATGGATTGACGATGGACGGATGGACAGACCACAGATGCAGAGCGATCTGAATAGCTCACCATCTCATAATGGTGGACTAAAATTTTTATTCCTGTGAACATGAATACAAGTCAAGGTCATTTGGTTTTACAAACTTTGTCAAGATTCATCATAGGAACATACAAGCTAAATATCATGCCTCATGAGCATTTTGATTTACGAGAAGCAATCATTTAAAGGTTTTAACAATCTGACCCCTGTGACCTTGAATATAATTCAAGGTCATTTCTTTTCATCTTTCTTTCATCCTAGAAACATTCAGTCTATTGGTTATTGATATGGGGTTTTTTAAATGAAAAAGTTGACGATGGACAATAGATGAAGGACAATGCACCACAGCTTATGTTCACTTGGCCCATCTTACATATTTGTTATATCCTGTATATTATGGTTCTCAAGTTGAAGAGGACTTGCTTAGATCATATTTTGTCTACAGATGGATGGACAGATGGACAGATGGACAATCAAGCTCATTATAGCTCTCTCCCAACTTTGTTGCAAGAGGTATACTTTTTTTCAAAAGAAATTTCAAAAGTTTTTTTCTTTTCTTGGTGAAGTTCTTACCTTGAGGTCGAAGCCAGCAGAATAGCTGAGGTTGGATACCTGAAAGGCATCTTCAAAGCTTAAATGGTATGTTTGGTTTAAGAGCAACAAAGCCATATAGCCCTGTGGAAAATCAACCCGATGCAAATGATAAGGTACGTAACAAGTACCGAAGTCATTCGTGAGCACAGCATTCTTTTTTGAAAGGGAATCAGGCGATAAGCTGTTAAAACCAAAGTTACCAAATTCAAGTCCTTCTGGACAGACGGCAGCATTCCTTCTACCAGCAGAAAGCCCAGCAGAGCCAGGAACACAGCTGAAAAGGTAATGAATAAAGACTCATTAGCCCTGAAAGGCAAACTACAGGATACCTAAATTTTAGCATTCAGGGGGCAAAACTGTTAAGTATTAGTAATGCAGAGGCAAAATTATGGGACATCAAAATATTAGCACTGAGGAGGCAAAAACAGGATGTAGATATATACTGAACAGGAGGATAAATCCATCATACAGAGAAACCTTGGTCCTAGATATATACTGTGGAGGAGGACAGACCCGTCACACAGACAAACCTTGGTCCTAGATACAACTGCACAGGAGGACAGACCCGTCACACAGACAAACCTTGGTCCTAGATACAACTGCACAGGAGGACAGACCCGTCACACAGACAAACCTTGGTCCTAGATACAAAGACAAACCTACTGATACAGGAGGACAGACCCCTAGATATATACACACAGACAAACCTTGGTCCTACACAGATATATATACTGTACAGGAGGACATATACTGTACAGGAGGACAGACCAGTCACACAGACAAACCTAGGTCCTAGATATATACTGTACAGGAGGACAGACCAGTCACACAGTCAAACCTAGGTCCTAGATATATACTGTACAGGAGGACAGACCAGTCACACAGACAAACCTAGGTCCTAGATATATACTGTACAGGAGGACAGACCCGTCACACAGTCAAACCTAGGTCCTAGATATATACTGTACAGGAGGACAGACCCGTCACACAGACAAACCTAGGTCCTAGATATATACTGTACAGGAGGACAGACCCGTCACACAGACAAACCTTGGTCCTAGATATATACTGTACAGGAGGACAGACCCGTCACACAGACAATCCTTGGTCCTAGATATATACTGTGGAGGAGGACAGACCCGTCACACAGACAAACCTTGGTCCTAGATATATACTGTACAGGAGGACAGACCCGTCACACAGTCAAACCTAGGTCCTAGATATATACTGTACAGGAGGACAGACCCGTCACACAGACAAACCTAGGTCCTAGATATATACTGTGGAGGAGGACAGACCTGTCACACAGACAAACCTAGGTCCTAGATATATACTGTACAGGAGGACAGACCCGTCACACAGACAAACCTAGGTCCTAGATATATACTGTACAGGAGGACAGACACGTCACAGGAGGACAGACAAACAAACTAGGTCCTAGATATATACACAGTATATACTGTACACAACACAGACAAACCTAGGTCCTAGATATATACTGTACAGGAGGACAGACCCGTCACACAGACAAACCTAGGTCCTAGATATATACTGTACAGGAGGACAGACCCGTCACACAGACAAACCTAGGTCCTAGATATATACTGTACAGGAGGATTATCTATTAGGCAAAAACACTGTCTTGACTTTGTGATTAACAGTAGGGCAAGATAAAATCAGGTGTAAACACTGAAAGCTGGTGGTATAAGGACAAGTTTTATACAAGAATGGTAAAATTCCCAAAGTGAATGATGTGCTATGTACAGGATTGCATTTTGAATATTCATAAAACCAATATCAAGCACATGCATGAAAGCTTGACTTGATTCACACAACTTTCTTTGAATTTGCTTTATGAAACTGCAGTCAAAAGAAAGATCTAATCATTAAAGATAATATCACATTTGAAGTCTTTCCCAAATTCCTTCAAAACATTAATCACTACATCATTTTCATGCTTGGTGCTATTTACCTGTCTGGATTACAATCACTCTGAGGTACAACTACACTGCCAGGAACATTAGTCAGTGATCCATCGATGTCATACACAGCTGCTTGGTATTCCCATTCAAATCCTATTAGATTCACACAATCGGTGAAGGTTGTTGCATACAAAGTATAGCTCCAACCACTGCAATCCTCTATACAAATTCCTTGTATGGTAGACCATGAAATTGCCACCGATCCCTCTACATCATAATTGTAAAATGTTGATGAGTTCACTTCGAAAGGCTTTCCTCTGTAACTTAATACCAATCCACTCCTTACCTCATCCTGCTCCAGCGGCTCTTGTTCAAGAAGAGTACTTCTGCCTATAAAGGTGTTGTTATATACTCTGTGAATACTCTGATCACTACTGATTAAAAGCTTTATTTCAGCAGCTGCTGTTTCCATGTTGGATAAAATAAAGTCCACTAATTCCAAACTTCCTATATCGACAGCCTCAAAACCCTTGTTACAGTTCCATGAAAAAAACCTTCTGAATGTTGCAGGTACTGAAAGACCATCTTCGTTACCATTTTCCCGTGGATCATATGCCTCAAATATCCAAATTCCAATCCATCCAACAGAGTGTACTTCATTGTCCTCATGTATCCCCAACGGCACTTTCCATGGGATAACAGGGAAGTCTGCAGACGGTCCTTCAGGATGTTCTTTAAGTCTGTACCACCAACCAAGGTGGCTTCCTCCTGCGGCAACATTGTGTCTATATGTATTATTTGGGTTGGTGGCCCAGAAAGCAGCAGGGGTGAGGTCATCATTTAAAAGACTTGAACTGCCTATTACCTGTCATTTAAAAAACAGAAAAGTACATTATAATCTCTCTCAAACTGAAAATGAAACAATTTTCATGGTTTTTCAAAATTTTCTTAATTTCTGGACCATTCTTCCTGTGGATGAATATAATTCAATAAATCTACTTGTACAGATATCCAGAGTGTGTGGACTATCAATTCGTGAATGAAGAGAACACACACAACAAAAGCCAGATATTGTTGCTCAACAATTTGACATTCTTTTCACCTATGTTCAGTCATCTTCACAAACATATAGCAACCATTAACCAAAAGGCACACAGTGATGAAATTTTGTCAGTAGTACTCTGTGGTCAATTCCTATTGACTGTATTCACAAAACATTGAGTGAAAATTTAACTTCTGTTTCTCAGTTGGGGTCAAAGTTGAAAATTGTTATTTTGAGACTTTTACAGACTTCTCAAGTTCAACAAGGTCTAGATCTTTAATATTTCACATGTAAGACTTTCTGGTCATCACCTATCAGGTTTGGAAAGATCAATTATTTTTATCTGCTTTCATGATCACAGAGTAAAATTTTGTTGAAATCTCTAAATGACTTCTTTTCAGTTAATGAGAGGCACAAAGTGATTTTGTTTTAGGAAGGGGTCACATTTAGAAAGTTCTTTTGCGCAAATTAATAACCTGTAACATGTCCCTTCCTATTTGACATTATCAGTAATACAATGTACACATGTGTACAAAAAGTTATTTGCAGTCATTATATATATATCTCATACCTTGTGTTAAAAAAATGATTCTCCACTCTCAATGATCTTTCAGACCAAATTTGGTTGAATTAATTCAAGCATCAAGGAGGAGTAGTATTTTGAAGCAATATATTGACTAACTTCCCTATCAGGGGCCCAACTCCTAGAGTCCCTTGGGTCAAATCAACTTTCTGAATTTAATATTTAATTGCCCACCCTACTGTTGTTTCAGACAAAATTTGAGTGAAATCCATTTAAGCATTAAGGAAGAGAGCATTTTGAAGCAAACTATTCACCAACTTCTTCCCATTCCCAAGTACCTAATGGTCGAATCATTTGCCCTCATTCAAATAATAATTCTCTACCCACAATGATATTTCAGACCACATTTGGTTTAAGCCCATTCAAGCATTAAGGAAAAGTAGTGTTTCAAAGCCAAATTATTGACTTACTTTCCCATGTGGGATCCTTGGGCAATTAGACAACTCTTTCATATGTGGTAAAGCCCTTGGCAACTCACTTAAATGTAACACAAGAGATCTTGAATATTGGTCAAGATTGATTATCTAAACAAATCGGCAGACCTTTATACACTTCTATCAGAGAACTGTGACCGTGCGGTCTACATCATTCTTGTTTTTGGGGAATCAATATAAATAACTCCCATGGACAGTTCCACATCCTTTTATTTTGTTGGTTCTTCTATACAATATTTTCTAACATGTGGTCTCTCTGTATTTCCAATCTCAACTTGCTCTCCGTGACTCTGTATCCGGACTCTCTCTCTAAACTCCCTTACCTTATCTATGTCATCTAATATAAAGATAGTCTAAATGTCATTCCTTTCAGTTCTATTCTCTGATTCTATTGGTCAGTTTTATACTGAGGAGGTGGGCCTAACCTATCTCAATGAAGTCTTGTTTCAGATGCCCACTCCCTTTCTAAGGTTCCAGATTTTACGTTTCTACCAATTGCACCAAATGGACCTTACATCCACACACCATTGTCCAGCAACCCTCACACCAATATCATCACATTCCTCACTCTCTTTGAAATCCAGCCACAGTGTGTGGTCTGGTCATCGCTTTACTCACTACATCTCTTTCAAATATCTTTTTAATTACTTTCTTCCCTGATCTAACAAACTGTCCATTTCTCACCCGTCACAAAACCATATAAATAGCCGCAACTTGTTTGTTATTGAGAAGAAGTTGTTTGAAGATTTTAAAACAATGACCCCTAAGACCTTTAAAAAGAGAAAATGCCAGTTGATAGAGATTGATTTTCAACTCTGGGACTTTTGGTTATTGAGAAAAAGTCATTTAAAGACTTTTTACACATTTTCCCCTGTGACCTTGAAAATGTATCCAGGTCACAAATTCTAACAAAATTTATACCAGCACCTTAAATCCGTTTGGTTAATGAAAGAATGCCTTTCTAAGGTTTTGATATAATGGACACCTATGACCTTGAAAGTATGTCAAGGTCAGTAATATTGACAAACATGGGAGCCCTTTGTACTGATCAACTTCATTTGGTTCAGCCTTGGTGATTGTAAATACAGTTCTACTAGGTTAATTATAAAAAGGTACTTAATATATTTTGCAAATACAAATATTGGCTAACAGACAGCTATCTGGTTAAAGAATGTTTTCGTTTTGTTTGTAAATCTATAATAAACGATAGGAAGTTTGACATTTTAGACATAGTTAACATGTAAAGATAACATAATATTAATATTTGGGTAAATGACCATAGCAACTATACAACAACTGATGCAAGTACATTTTGACTAAAATAGAAGATCTGACCACACATTGCATAAGTTTTTCCTGCCGAAGCAAATGTGATTTAAATTTTAATCCAAACTGTTTAGAGTTACCTCCCTTCAATAATAGTTTCATTTGTATTGCTTTCTGATTAACAAATTACTGATGGCGAGTGGAGTTTGATAAAAATCAATATTACCAGAATATTTCATTAATTACTTTAAATAGATATATCCATCATTTCTTTTATGTATGCAACAAAATGCTTTGATAAGTGAATATTCGTCTTAAGCAGTTTAGGTATCCATTTAAAGAATCGCAAAACCACTGATATTTTGCAATTTTTCCAACAGGTGAAAATGCTAAGGAATAAGACATTTCAGATACAGTGATATTTGTTATACTTGTTACAGGCTAGCTTGTAATAAAAATGATAATCCTGAAAAAAAAAACAAAGATAAGTCGTTTTGTTGAGAAGACCCAAACAAATTCCCCCTGAAACTTAATGACTCTAACACATGGTGATTCATTAAACTCTTTATAGTTTCTTTGCAACTACCCAATACCATGTTCTTCTCCCTTCTATACAGACTGATTGGCAGCCAGTTGAATCGATTGATTGACAATGGACTGACAGGAAGTTTCCCGTAAGTTAATCCCTAATCCTTTTAAGAGATATGGACATAACATCTAAAAAATCTTCAGTTGTCAATTGACAATACTTACGAAGATGGCAGCATTGTTTTCAAAAGTATTAGCTATCTCCACTCCATCCTCCAGGAAAAAGGCTCCGCCCATGACATTGTATATTATGTTACTTTCAATCAATAGATTAGAAGTTGCATGAACATTCACTGCACGATTAAATGTATGATGGATGGAGAGTCCACGCACATAAGAATTTGACTGATCTCCTGCCAGGTGAAAGTGGACTGGATAACGACCAAGGCGGAAGGCTTGTCCAGCATGACTGATTTCAAAGTTCGATAAACGACCCAAAGAATTTGAAGAATGAATCAAAATTTGACCTCCAAATTGATCACTTCCCACTTCGTCGCCAAAGCGCCCTTGGAAACAGGTCTGAGTCGCAAACTCGCCTGGAACCATGAATGCAATTTTACAAGTTAGTTAGTACAAGAACAAAAACTGAACACTGTAACTATACAGACTTAAGCAGTGCTTGTCATGATAAAGATAAGGAATCTTTAGTATAGCAATTATTGTCAATGTAACTGAAGTGAGTATCTATTTCAATGCCCCTGCCAGGATTCAAACCCACGACCCCTGACTTACTGGTCTAATGGTCAAAAGATCAAACTAAGGTGATGTTCCCCCTTCCTGAGCAGTATATTGTCACTTTTATTTTACTAAGGTTACATACTCACCCTCCAGAAAATTACTTATCCTGGAATACCCAAGGGATATAGAAATGTCTGTGGTGGAAAGTGACAGAGAAGATGGGGAGTTTTCAGGATTTAACGTGGACAATGGTATTGTGCATGGTGAAGTGCATGGTGAAAACAAACTTTACACGGATAACAATCCCAGAAATAGTTGAAGTTGATGAAGAGGAAATGGATCAGAAAGAGAGAGGTCTAACAATGAATGCTTACTATTACAATTGGCTGCGAGATTTTCCAAAGCAACCAGGGCCTCATCACAGAGACAAAGATTCTAATGAGTTCAAAATATTTTCAAAAACTTCTTTACTAACAGAAAAAACCAACAATTATTACCAACAGCAGCTGCTTAATGTATGTGGTATCAATGTTTTGAAACCTCAAGCCCGTGCCTGAAAATGGCAGAATATTTAACATCCAAAATTAAAGCTTCTCTCGGAATGGTGTTTTATATTGTTCTTGTGCGATTACCAATTGAACCAAGATGAATCAATATCTTTAAATGGATGTTCTGCTCTGATGTCTAGAGACAGATTTCTGAACATTTTGGCCTATTTTCATACAGCCGACAAGGATGTTGAGCCTCCAAGAGGCAGCCCAGTTTATGACCCAACTTACAAGTTTTGAAAGCCTACCTGACTACTTATCAACAACAGACAGCATTATCACTGTCCTTACAGCAAAATAAGTATGCATGAAACACTACTCCCTTTTTTAGGCAATAACCAAATATGTCCAATGTATTCCATCAAAACCACTCTAATGGGGGTTGGCAGTTTGGACATTAGTTGAATCCGAAACCGGTTTTGTGTACAACCGGGAAATGTGCATGGGGACAAACATCCCTCTACTCCTTTATGTGATAAATAGATTAGGGCATGTGGGACCCTGCGGACAAACCAGTCTGGTGTCCCTGCCATCATAAAAACTGCAAAATCCCTCAAAGGTGAGAAAGGTGAGAGCATTGTACACAGCGATTGCCACTTTCTGTACATATCATTTATAACAATAGACTTGTGAATGTGGTGACAACTGTCCACAATACATCATCCTATTGATGTTTCAGCAAAATCATTTCAGGGAAGTGGAGCACCCAAAGGCAATTTAGCTCTATACAAAATATATGGGAGGTGTTGATAGTGGGGATCAACAGACTCAATACTGTGTCACTAAGCATAGAATGCTTAAAAGGTGGAACAAGTTGGTACAGTGTAGATCATTATAAGTAAGTTACTGCAATGCCAAAATATTGTGAAAGCACTTCAATCCAAGTGTGCAAAGGTACTGTTCAAACAAATTTCATCTGGCTGTGATCTCTGGTCTTCTTGAAGGGTATGACAGACTGAAAAATAAGACATTTGTGAGGCCTGCAGCCAACCTCCCTTTAAGAATGACACAGAGGCATTTCCTAGCTCCAAGACACATGGTGGACAGCATTCAATCCAGGAATGTGAAGTTTGTTCTAACTCGGAAGCAAAGTGCTGTTACCAGACACAGTATGTGTGCAAGGCTTATGACAACATTCCTCTTTGTCCATTTCCCTACTTTGAGAGGTACCATTCATTACTTATATTCAAATAACATGTCATCCAAAGTTTTACAACTGAGGTAGGGCTGTTTTATAGTTACGTTTGGAGTTGAAAGATTAATTAAAGAAAATTTACAAAAATTCTTACTAACATTGTTCATTTTAGTGGTTTTGCTTTATAAAAGACACCTACACTGACGACAGGCTGACAATATCAGATCCCTCTCTCTTCAAGAGGTGAGCTAAAATTTGCTTTTCCTTGAAGCAACTGGAGAAAGTTTTGAATAATCAAACGTTTTAATACATGCTAATCCCTCCACTGTCCTAGATTCACCATCCGGCCTCAGATCTTGACATCATGGCTACTTAATATATAATCTGCCTGTTTTCCAGTGAATTTGCCCAAGCAGTATTTTGCTTATGGATATCACTAGTGTATTATCCCCTGGCCAGTTTATCATTGGCCGGGCTATTCAGAAATTGTTTTCATGTCTAACGATGTAATTTAATGAAGTGAAGATTGTGCAATAAAAAGGCTGGACCTATTTGATTTTGTCCTCTGCATTTTCACTTCTATCGATGGAAACCTGCCAAAATGTAACTATTTGGAGTTATGCGAAAAAAAAAAAAAAAGATTTTTCAAATTTCATTCCATTTTATATGAGCTTTTGTGAAACTTGACTTTTTTGTTCACCAAGGCCTGCAATAATAAAACCTTCAACTTCTTTCATAAAAAGTCTTTTTGAAATTTTATTACCTGTGTCAAAGCCATCTCCACAAGCTTCTATTGTCTCTGAGAATTGTTTATTAACCGATCCCTTTACAGCAACATTCCTTGTCAGTAAGCCAACCTCTCCCCTATATTCTACAGATATGTCTCCAAACCACTCTCTCGTACTCAAATGCTTGTATTCCAAGGGTTTATTCAGGGTCAAGATTTTTCCATTATCAGACACTGCATCAACTGATCTGAAAATACAATGTTAAAAGTGGTGCATAGTAAATTAATTAAGTTTGATTGTTGTGTTTAAGTGGAGTGGTTTGATTGTTGTGTTTAAGTGGAATGGTTTGGTTGTTGTGTTTAAGTGGAGTGATTTGTGGTGTTTAAGTGGAGTGGTTTGTTGTGTTTAAGTGGAGTGGTTTGTTGTGTTGAAGTGGAGTGGTTTGTTGTGTTTAAGTGGAGTGGTTTGATTGTTGTGTTTAAGTGGAGTGGTTTGGTTGTTGTGTTTAAGTGGAGTGGCTTGGTTGTTGTGTTTAAGTGGAGTGGTTCGATTGTTGTGTTTAAGTGGAGTGGTTTGGTTGTTGTGTTTAAGTGGAGTGATTTGTGGTGTTTAAGTGGAGTGGTTTGTTGTGTTTAAGTGGAGTGGTTTGTTGTGTTGTTGTTTGTTGTGTTGAAGTGGAGTGGTTTGTTGTGTTTAAGTGGAGTGGTTTGGTTGTTGTGTTTAAGTGGAGTGGCTTGGTTGTTGTGTTTAAGTGGAGTGGTTCGATTGTTGTGTTTAAGTGGAGTGGTTTGGTTGTTGTGTTTAAGTGGAGTGGTTTGATTGTTGTGTTTAAGTGGAATGGTTTAGTTGTTGTGTTTAAGTGGAGTGGTTTGTTGTGTTTAAGTGGAGTGGTTTGTTGTGTTTAAGTGGAGTGGTTTGTTGTGTTTAAGTGGAGTGGTTTGTTGTGTTGAAGTGGAGTGGTTTGTTGTGTTTAAGTGGAGTGGTTTGATTGTTGTGTTTAAGTGGAGTGGTTTAGTTGTTGTGTTTAAGTGGAGTGGCTTGGTTGTTGTGTTTAAGTGGAGTGGTTTGATTGTTGTGTTTAAGTGGAGTGGTTTGGTTGTTGTGTTTAAGTGGAGTGGCTTGGTTGTTGTGTTTAAGTGGAGTGGCTTGGTTGTTGTGTTTAAGTGGAGTGGTTTGGTTGTTGTGTTTAAGTGGAGTGGTTTGTTGTGTTTAAGTGGAATGGTTTGTTGTGTTTAAGTGGAGTGGTTTGATTGTCGTGTTTAAGTGGAATGGTTTGGTTGTTGTGTTTAAGTGGAGTGGTTTGTTGTGTTGAAGTGGAGTGTTTAAGCCAAGTTACGTCAAAATCCATGCCAAATCCACAGAAGGGAAGGCAGTACGAAATTGTGTCCACTCAGACGGATGGGCAGACAGACAAACCGGTTACAGTATATCCCCTTTAACTACCTCATTAGGGAATAAATATATCATAATTATGCTTATACACACCATAAACAGACCAAAAATGACACCAGTGTCCTTCCTTGCCTCTGTTTTTGTGTATGGTGACTACCAGTGACCTACCTGACCTCTGTTTTTGTGTATAATGACCACCAGTGTCCTACCTGACCTCTATTTCTGCTTGTGAGTTGTGACCACCAGTGCCCTACCTGGCCTCTGTTTTTGTGTGTGGTGACCACTAGTGTCCTACCTGACCTCTGTTTCTGTTTGTGAGTAGTGACCACCAGTGCCCTACCTGACCTCTGTTTCTGCTTGTGAGTGGTGACCACCAGTGCCCTACCTGACCACTGTTTTTGTGTTTGGTGACCACCAGTGTCCTACCTGACCTCTGTTTCTGCTTGTGATTGGTGACCACTAGTGTCCTACCTGACCTCTGTTTTTGTGTGTGGTGACCACCAGTGTCCTACCTGACCTCTGTCTCTGCTTGTGAGTGGTGACCACCAGTGCCCTACCTGACCTCTGTTTTTGTGTGTGGTGACCACTAGTGTCCTACCTGACCTCTGTTTCTGCTTGTGAGTAGTGACCACTAGTGCCCTACCTGACCTCTGTTTTTGTGTGTGGTGACCACTAGTGTCCTACCTGACCTCTGTTTCTGCTTGTGAGTAGTGACCACTAGTGCCCTACCTGACCTCTGTTTTTGTGTGTGGTTATCACTAGTGTCCTACCAGACCTCTGTTTCTGCTTGTGAGTGGTGACCACCAGTGCCCTACCTGACCTCTGTTTCTGCTTGTGAGTGGTGACCACCAGTGCCCTACCTGACCTCTGTTTTTGTGTGTGGTGACCACCAGTGTCCTACCTGACCTCTGTTTTTGTGTGTGGTGACCACTAGTGCCCTACCTGACCTCTGTTTTTGTGTGTGGTGACCACTAGTGTCCTACCTGACCTCTGTTTCTGCTTGTGAGTGGTGACCACTAGTGTCCTACCTGACCTCTGTTTCTGCTTGTGAGTGGTGACCACCAGTGCCCTACCTGACCTCTGTTTCTGCTTGTGTGTGGTGACCAAAAGTGCCATTCCTGACCTCTGTTTTTGTGGGTGGTGACCAAAAGTGCCCTACCTGACCTCTGTTTTTGTGTGTGGTGACCACTAGTGTCCTACCTGTCCTCTGTTTTTGTGGGTGGTGACCACCAGTGTCCTACCTGACCTCTGTTTTTGTGTGTGGTGACCACTAGTATCCTACCTGACCTCTGTTTCTGCTTGTGAGTAGTGACCACCAGTGCCCTACCTGACCTCTGTGTTTGTGTGTGGTGACCACTAGTGTCCTACCTGACCTCTGTTGTTGTGTGTGGTGACCACTAGTGTCCTACCTGACCTCTGTTTCTGCTTGTGAGTGGTGACCACCAGTGCCCTACCTGACCTCTGTTTCTGCTTGTGAGTGGTGACCACCAATGCCCTACAGGACCTGTTGTTGTGTGTGGTGACCACCAGTGTCCTACCTGACCTCTGTTTCTGCTTGTGAGTGGTGACCACCAGTGCCCTACCACCAGTGCCCTACCTGACCTCTGTTTCTGCTTGTGAGTGGTGACCAAAAGTGCCATTCCTGACCTCTGTTTTTGTGTGTGGTGACCACCAGTGCCCTACCTGACCTCTGGTTTTGTGTGTGGTGACCACTGGTGTCCTACCTGACCTCTGTTTCTGCTTGTGAGTAGTGACTACCAGTGCCCTACCTGACATCTGTTTTTGTGTGTGGTGACCACTAGTGTCCTACCTGACCTCTGTTTCTGCTTGTGAGTAGTAACCACCAGTGCCCTACCTGACCTCTGTTTCTGCTTGTGAGTAGTGACTACCAGTGCCCTATCTGACCTCTGTTTTTGTGTGTGGTGACCACTAGTGTCCTACCTGACCTCTGTTTTTGTGTGTGGTGACCACCAGTGTCCTACCTGACCTCTGTCTCTGCTTGTGAGTAGTGACCACCAGTGCCCTACCTGGCCTCTGTTTTTGTGTGTGGTGACCACTAGTGTCCTACCTGACCTCTGTTTCTGCTTGTGAGTAGTGACCACTGCTGCTGTGAGTAGTGACCACCAGTGCCCTACCTGACCTCTGTTTTTGTGTGTGGTGACCACTAGTGTCCTACCTGACCTCTGTTTCTGCTTGTGAGTGGTGACCACCAGTGCCCTACCTGACCTCTGTTTCTGCTTGTGAGTGGTGACCAAAAGTGCCATTCCTGACCTCTGTTTTTGTTTGTGGTGACCAAAAGTGCCCTACCTGACCTCTGTTTTTGTGTGTGGTGACCACTAGTGTCCTACCTGTCCTCTGTTTTTTGTGTGGTGACCACCAGTGCCCTACCTGACCTTTGTTTTTGTGTGTGGTGACCACTAGTGTCCTACCTGACCTCTGTTTCTGCTTGTGAGTAGTGACCACCAGTGCCCTACCTGACCTCTGTTTTTGTGTGTGGTGACTACTAATGTCCTACCTGACCTCTGTTTTTGTGTGTGGTGACCACCAGTGTCCTACCTGACCTCTGTTTCTGCTTGTGAGTGGTGACCACCAGTGCCCTACCTGACCTCTGTTTCTGTGTGTGTTTACCACTAGTGTCCTACCTTACCTCTGTTTCTGCTTGGGAGTAGTGACCACCAGTGTCCTACCTGACCTCTGTTTCCACCAGTGCCCTACCTGACCTCTGTTTCTGCTTGTGAGTAGTGACCACCAGTGCCCTACCTGACCTCTGTTTCTGCTTGTGAGTGGTGACCAAAAGTGCCATTCCTGACCTCTGTTTTTGTGTGTGATGACCAAAAGTGCCCTACCTGACCTCTGTTTTTGTGTGTGGTGACCACTAGTGTCCTACCTGTCCTCTGTTTTTGTGTGTGGTAGCCACCAGTGTCCTACCTGACCTCTGTTTCTGCTTGTGAGTGGTGACCACCAGTGCCCTACCTGACCTCTGTTTCTGCTTGTGAGTAGTGACTACCAGTGCCCTACCTGACCTCTGTTTCTGCTTGTGAGTGTCGACCACCAGTTGTTGACACAACAACATCATCATTAACAGATGCACCAATATCCTCCTGTAGATACAATTTGTCGCTTCCAATATCTGCAGTTTGGGCAAGTTTCGTCCATGGCCTTGGCGAACTTTTACCTTGAATTGGAAATGTTTCTTATATCAAATTTTCATACCATTCTCAAAAAACAGTTTGAAAGGTATTCAGACCCATTGTTTATACAATATGTTTATATATACCAGACAAATATCCTGCCTCTAGGCCTTTTAGATCAAGAAAAGAAGTTATTTAAGGTTTTTACAAATCTGACCCCTGTGAACTTGAGTACAGGTCGAAATGATTATTATTTTTTGTTTTTGCAAACTTTATCAGGCTTCATCTCAGGATCATACCAACAAAGTATCAAAACAATTGGTCCATTGGTTATTGAGAAGAATTTATTTAAAGGAAAAAGTTGATGCTAGACGATGGACGAAGAATGATGGATGACTTGTCATGGGCCAGGTGAGCTAGAGGAATCATATATATGTAAATCGAGGTGCAGTGATTCCGTCTACTTCAATAAACTGTTCAAATATAGTTCATCTAAACCTAAGCATAACTGAAAAGTTAACATATATAAAGAATTTCTATGAAAACAAAGGATGTTTGACATATTAGTTAACTGAAATTGATTACCATGAATATCTAGGATTCCATTGCGTACAAAGATTCCCTTTGTACCATAAATTGGTATCCCCAAATCTGAAATACTGCCATGTAAAATGATGGTAGCTTGGTGCTGAAATGGCTGTGTTTCTGTTCCTACCTACAATAAATTGCAATAAATGTAAATCAGTGTCTTATTTAAGTTTCCATTGGATAATTACAAGATTTATGAAACGAGTCTAAAAATATCTAACCCCAAGTCTCACTAAAAAGCAAAATTTGTAACAAGTTTCATAAATTATCAAATAGAATCAATATAATGGTCAGACTTAGTATACTGAAAGGATAAAGAAACGCAGGGTAATATTTATTCCGATATTTTGAAAACGCGTTCTCCAAATAAAGTGAAACTTTGTCGATTGAGTAATTAGGTCATATTATTGTCATGTATTGAAAATTTAGTCACGGTACAGTGCACAGCTCTGGTAAATGGAGCAAGGAAAAAACAAGAATCTCATGCACCGTGTTGTTCTGGTCTCATGCGGCGTTGGTCAAGTCACTCTTCGTTAGTCTTTATACAGACCAACTGCTTCCCTAAAATTAATTGAGAATTTGATTCGTTTTAAGAATGGCACGACTCACAGAAGTTCAGAGGGGCCAAGCCATTCTGATGCTGATGCAAGGACAGCTGCAAAATCAGGTTGCTAAGCACTTTGGTGTTAATGTTTCCACCATAGAACGTCTTGTAAGATGTCTTCGGGAAACTGGGCGATTGGCCGATCGACCTAGGTCAGGACACCCGCGCGTAACGTCACGATGTCAGGATCGCTATATCATCGTCTCTCATGTGCCTAATCGGCACCTTACTGCCGTTGAGAGAGTGCACTTAATGTTCGTGGAAATCATGGGCATCCTATAAGTTCAAAAACTGTAAGGAATCGATTACGAGATGTTGGTGTAAGAGCACGTCGCCCCTACGTAGGTCCACACCTTACCCCTGCACGACGTCAGCGTTGTATGGCCTGGGTCGCTGCACATGCTCCATGACGGTTTCCACTGAGGCAGTGGAGACAAGTTTTCTTCACGGATGAGTCTCGATTCTGTCTTTATCGATCTGATGGCCGTCAACGTGTCTACCGACGTCGTGGCGAACGCTTTACGGACACTTGCGTTGTAGAGAGGGATAGGTTTTGGGGCGGTTAAGTAATGATGTGAGGAGGAATCTCACACGGGTTAAAATCACAATTGGTTGTTATTGATGGCAATTTAACAGCGAAGTATAGAGATGAGATCCTCCGACCCCGTGTTATCCCTTTCTTACAGCAGCATAATCTAACCCTCCAGCAGGATAATGCTAGGCCCCACGTAGCAAGGATTTGCCAAGTCTTTCTGGCCAACAACAACATTCAACCACTAGATCGGCCGCCATATAGCCCTGGTTTGTCCCCGATTAAGCATCTTTGGGACCAGTTGGATAGACAGGTTCGAAAGCGCCAGCCACCCCCTGCTACTCGAGAGCAATTGACCAGAGCTCTGATTGAAGAGAGGGACAACATCAACATAAGACGGATTAACGCTCTCATTAACTCTATGACCAGAAGAATAAGGGCCGTGACCACAGCAAACGGCAGACACACAAGATATTGATGACTCAGTTCAATTTCAATTTCAAAATCCTATGGGTCCATTCAATTTAATCGTTAGTACCTCTAAACCAATAGTCAGATGCAAAATACAGACTTTGGAAATTTTTAAGCTTTAATTTATCTGTAAGTATACAAAAATTTCGTTTTAAATGAAGCCCGATATCATATTTAATTTCTGGTTTAAAGTTCACCCTGCGTTTCTTTATCATTTTAGTATATATTTAATGTCATGTCATTATTTAGATCTTTAGTCACAATACATAATCATACACAAGGGTACATTCATTAAGTAACTTGGAAGTCAGGTGGTTATTACAGGTTATTGTATGCTTGTTGTTGTCAAGGAATACGAGAGTTAGGGATGCAGTTTGTTGTTGTCAAGGAATACGAGAGTTAGGGATGCAGTTTGTTGTTGTCAAGGAATATGAGAGTTAGGGATGCAGTTTGTTGTTGTCAAGGAATTCGAGAGTTAGGGATGCAGTTTGTTGTCAAGGAATACAAGAGTTAGGGATGCAGTTTGTTGTTGTCAAGGAATACAAGACTTAGGGATGCAGTTTGTTGTTGTCAAGGAATACAAGAGTTAGGGATGCAGTTTGTTGTTGTCAAGGAATACAAGAGTTAGGGATGAAGTTTGTTGTCAAGGAATATGAGAATTAGGGATGCAGTTTGTTGTTGTCAAGGAATACAAGAGTTAGGGATGCAGTTTGTTGTTGTCAAAGAATACAAGAGTTAGGTATGCAGTTTGTTGTTGACAAGGAATACAAGAGTTAGGGATGCAGTTTGTTGTTGTCAAGGAATATGAGAATTAGGGATGCAGTTTGTTGTTGTCAAAGAATACAAGAGTTAGGGATGCAGTTCGTTGTTGTCAAGGAATACAAGAGTTAGGATTGCAGTTCGTTGTTGTCAAGGAATATGAGAGTTAGGGATGCAGTTCGTTGTTGTCAAGGAATACGAGAGTTAGGGATGCAGTTCGTTGTTGTCAAGGAATACGAAAGTTAGGGATGCATTTTGTTGTTGTCAAGGAATACGAGAGTTAGGGATGCAGTTCGTTGTTGTCAAGGAATACGAGATTTAGGGATGCAGTTTCTTGTTGTCAAGGAATACAAGAGTTAGGGATGCAGTTCGTTGTTGTCAAGGAATACAAGAGTTAGGGATGCAGTTCGTTGTTGTCAAGGAATACGAGAGTTAGGGATGCAGTTCGTTGTTGTCAAGGAATACAAGAGTTAGGGATGCAGTTCGTTGTTGTCAAGGAATACGAGAGTTAGGGATGCAGTTCGTTGTTGTCAAGGAATACGAGAGTTAGGGATGCAGTTTGTTGTTGTCAAGGAATACGAGAGTTAGGGATGCAGTTCGTTGTTGTCAAGGAATACGAGAGTTAGGGATGCAGTTCGTTGTTGTCAAGGAATACGAGAGTTAGGGATGCAGTTTGTTGTCAAGGAATACAAGAGTTAGGGATGCAGTTCGTTGTTGTCAAGGAATACGAGAGTTAGGGATGTGGTTCGTTGTTGTCAAGGAATATGAGAGTTAGGGATTCAGTTTGTTGTCAAGGAATTCCTTGGGTTAAGGGTGCAGTTTATATTGTCAAGGAATATGAGGGTTAGTGAAGTTGTTCGTTGTTGTTAAGGGACATAAAGCTGACGAAAGCACAAGGATACACACCTGAAGGGTACCATTGTCTGTTATCAAGATGATTTCAGTGTTGAGTTCTATATCCTTTTCAGCAAATTTTACTGTTCCTCCTAAAAAAAATAACAAAAGTGCTATATAGAATCCAACAAAATATGTAGAAACATTTATCTTCATCAGCAATGGAAACAGGAAACCAGAACATTGTGAAATTAAATTTAAAGGCTGACCATGTAAGAAACAAGACAACACAGAGGGATCTAGGTGTCCACTATTCTGTTGTCTTTATTTCTTCTTTACAAGTTGGATTGTTTCCCTTTATTTTGCTTCTTTCCTCTATTTTTACTCTAAAATTTATGAAATTTGAATGTTCCTCTTAAGAAATGGCAAAAAAATCTCTAACTGACAAATCTATTTTGTTTTTCTCATAAGTCCCTAAAACAGAAGGACACAATAACGACCCAAGGGGAACCTACATACTAAATCTGGGAAAGATCCATCCAAACGAAATTTTAAGTAGATTCATTAAATAGTGGAAACAAACTTTCACAGTCAATAACAAAGATGGTTGCCTGTCAACCATTTTGCTTTTTTGGTCAGTTCCAAAATTAGAAGAGCACATTTAATGACAAAGGGGAACTGACACAATTAAAAAAAAAAAAAATGAGAAAAATTAATCAAATCAAAATTGTTCAAGAAAGAGCAAGGACACACTTTCATTGAAAAAGGCCACTTGCTAGCCATTTTGTTTTCCTGGTCAGTTGAGAAAGAAAACAAGAGGCCCAAGGGCCTTAATGGTCATTTGCTGGCATTCTTCTTGTAACATGTCATAACAAATTTGTTAATAGAGTATCATAACTTAAACTACCGTTCTAGGATCACACAATGTTACACAATGTGTCATTTGTGCACGATGTCTGCACGTTAGAAAATTTGGAATAAATAAGCTATTGCACATATGTGCGCACGTTGTGCGATTCTATCATGGTTGATATAAATCTTAAAATGACTTATAAATAAGGGTTGGATATGGTTTACTTATTTTCTAGATATATTAGATTACAACCAAGTATATTTCCTATTCAGCCATTAATATAAAAGTGGGACACTTGTAGATATATCGGATGTAGTTAGGTACACTCGTGATCTTAAGTGTTTTGTTTACAATGAGCCACACATGACCAGCCTCAGTGTATGGACACACATTATAAATACAATATTTATGTTGATATTAAATGTACATCTCTTTATGTCACAGCAATAGATCATTTGAAATTTCACACCATCAGAAAGGAAACTTTATTTCCATTACTTTCCTATTACTCTCATTTTCCATTCACTTTGTAAACAAAAATATCTGCTCAGATACATGAGCTGGTATCGTATCCGAATCTATCACATATATACCAGCATATAAACGTTTGTTGTCCGAGTAGACACGACTCGCCACTTTCTGAGGTATGAAACTATGAAATGTGATAAGACTAATTAATGCAGGTCCATGGTTATTTAAAAAACTGTCGAATTGAAAATGACTTTTATAATCACCGATTAATGTTTGTTAATCTTCATGTGATTGCTATATAGTAATAAATTTCCATTTTATTTTCAATTCGTAATTTTAGCTAAACCACACAAATTGTGCAATCTATTGCACTGTTGTATACACAATAATGTATCCTGTGTGTGTGCGTTTGACGTGCACAGGAACTGGGTATGAAGTTTTTGGTGCATAGTGTGTTATCACAACTGTACATTGTACATGGAATGTTTACATAATATAGGCTCTGCATACGAAGGCTTCTAACTACCTTTGAATTACGAGAAATTATAGTCAAAATGTAATTTTCCAACATGATATCTTCCATCCATGACAGAATGTAATAGATTTTATAATATCTATGTATTGAGAAGTCTTTGAAATTTGAGTCAGTTTGATCCCTTTTGGCCTTGCCCACCAGCCCTTGGGTGTCTACCAGAATCAACATGTGCACATCATCAAATAGCCATCTAACAGTATCAATTCTACATCAGTTTAACAGATGACTGCTCCCTGATGGTAGAAACTGTTGGTTGACTTTGTGTCTCAGAGGTTTGCCTAAACCTGGATGATAGTACACCTTCCAGTCTATATTCAGACTTCTCTTTTTATCGCTTTGTATTGTCCCCTTCTAGACTTTCAAATTTAGACCCTTAGTATCTAAAAGGAAAAAACAGCTGTATGATGCAGTTTAATTCATTGTTTGCCAGTACTGAATCTAACTCTAAATTTGTATCAGTAGGATTCATTTGTGTGTCTTTTGGATAATAAATAATGGGTGATCCAACACTCCTTATGTAAGACTAGCGGTAGTGCCTTCAGTCGGATCCCTAGGATTCAGTAGAGTTCCTTACTAAGAAAACAATAAAACAAAAAGGAATCTAAACAACATGAAGACTTTTTGTGAAACTGTCTACATGTATCGGCCGCTATGCGACCGTCATCAGGACAAATTTTTTTTATTCCTCTTTATTTTATTATCGTGTGTCTTTTGTACGATCTTAAAAACGTTTGATTGATACTAAATGTAGTATGTACTTACCCTGAATTAGAAGTATCTTAAGAATTGGTGTTGATTCGTCCAACAGTATCGTTTGGCCAGATGGAATGACGACAAAATCCTGTTCAACTGGTGGAGGTAAACCACCCCATGACGTTGGAGAGGACCAAATATCCAGATACTCAAAGTTAGCATTTGTCTTCATGAAACATAAAATCACGATTACACAAATACCCATTTATCTGATGAATTCTATGAACAAAAGACAAAGTAGATAAATATGATCAGTGAAATGGGAACGGGTTAATAGTAATTTTCAGCCTGAAAACTACAGAAAAATCATGTAGGGGATTTATTTTCCATGGATTTTGTGGGCTCTCCTAATTCATAAATTCATGTGTCCATGAACTGTATAATAAAATAAATAAACTTTATTTATTTTACAACAATTGTGCAACAAATTTCAACTTCTACTAATCACTCTTGTTGACCCAGATGTAAGAGTGCGAGGGGTGTTATTGTGGGAGGAAACCGGAGTACCCGGGGAAAACTCCTGTGGTCGGGCAGGTGACCCCATACCTTTTCACGTCCATTACAGGAATCGAACCCCGGACGGCTAGGTGAAAGGGGGGATGTGTTACCAATGCACCACCCAACCACCCATAAACTGTTAAAATCAATATAAGCAGACCAACACAACTAACCTGCCGTGCCATTCCATTCGCATTTCGCAGCTCCACGAATGTGCTGACAGAACCCTGTCTTTGCCCAGTGAGGCACCTGACCTCCGTGTCTGACTCCCATTGGACAGAACACGGCACACCTCCCATTGTTACTGTCACTCCATCCAGCACAGATCTTCGCCTTCTCTTCTTAGATGTTCCACCAGCACTGATACAAAATCAATATAACTGCTTTTGTAACCAACACCAATTTCATTCTTCAGTGTCGTGTGGTAATGATCCACCCGAGCAAATCGTCCATATTTATTTAAGATAAATTTATAGCACTAAATACAAACCAGAAAAAGACATGAATGCCTCTCTCCTACGCAAACAAGTATCTGATGTGTCGAACTCGCCGTTATGATACTATGGGGGTAAATATGAACAAATCTTTTGAAGAATTTAGAATGGAACAGGAGAGGATGGGGGAACACTGGGGAGGGGAGGGGAGGGGACAGAGAAAAGTAAAACACAACACATTCTAATAAAAGTTGTGCATTATATGCATTTTAAATAAATACATACTATAATGAGAATTGAAAGGTAAACACATGAACAATTTCTGTGTGTAAACTACATGCAAGGAGGTTATTTTCACGATCAATTTTCATTGTATTTCATTTATGATATTTCAGCTCATCACAAAATATTACACACAGGGGAAATTTTCGATATCTAATGACCTTTAAATAATTAGTGAAAATTTCCCCCTTGCATCAATTTCCACATTTACAATAACCAACCTACAGGTCTATATCAGCTAAGCAAAGGAAACAGACATATGGCTCAGCAGCCAAATCTACTACACACAGCAGTCGAATGACCGAGGTCACATCAAACAATATATGTACTAGCCACACCTATCTACTCCACACAGCAGTCGAATGACCGACATCACATCAAACAATATATGTACCAGCCACACCTAACTACTCCACACAGCAGTCGAATGACCGAGGTCACATCAAACAATATATGTACCAGCCACACCTATCTACTCCACACAGCAGTCGAATGACCGAGGTAACATCAAACAATATATGTACCAGCCACACCTATCTACTCCACACAGCAGTCAAATGACCGAGGTCACATCAAACAATATATGTACCAGCCACACCTATCTACTCCACACAGCAGTCGAATGACCGAGGTCACATCAAACAATATATGTACCAGCCACACCTATCTACTCCACACAGCAGTCGAATGACCGAGGTCACATCAAACAATATATGTACCAGCCACACCTAACTACTCCACACAGCAGTCGAATGACCGAGGTCACATCAAACAATATATGTACCAGCCACACCTAACTACTCCACACAGCAGTCGAATGACCGAGGTCACATCAAACAATATATGTACCAGCCACACCTAACTACTCCACACAGCAGTCGAATGACCGAGGTCACATCAAACAATATATGTACCAGCCACACCTATCTACTCCACACAGCAGTCGAATGACCGAGGTCACATCAAACAATATATGTACCAGCCACACCTAACTACTCCACAGAGCAGTCGAACGATCGAGGTCACATCAAACAATATATGTACCAGCCACACCTAACTACTCCACACAGCAGTCGAATGACCGAGGTCACATCAAACAATATATGTACTAGCCACACCTAACTACTCCACACAGCAGTCGAATGACCGAGGTCACATCAAACAATATATGTACCAGCCACACCTAACTACTCCACAGAGCAGTCGAACGATCGAGGTCACATCAAACAATATATGTACCAGCCACACCTAACTACTCCACACAGCAGTCGAATGACCGAGGTCACCACACCTATCTACTCCTCACAGCAGTCGAATGACTGAGGTCATATCAAACAATATATGTACCAGCCACACCTAACTACTCCACACAGCAGTCGAATGACCGAGGTCACATCAAACAATATATGTACCAGCCACACCTATCTACTCCACACAGCAGTCGAATGACCGAGGTCACATCAAACAATATATGTACCAGCCACTCCTATCTACTACACACAGCAGTCGAATGACCGAGGTCACATCAAACAATATATGTACCAGCCACACCTATCTACTCCACACAGCAGTCGAATGACCGAGGTCACATCAAACAATATATGTACCAGCCACTCCTATCTACTACACACAGCAGTCAAATGACCGAGGTCACATCAAACAATATATGTACCAGCCACACCTAACTACTCCACAGAGCAGTCGAATGACCGAGGTCACATCAAACAATATATGTACCAGCCACACCTAACTACTCCACAGAGCAGTCGAATGACCGAGGTCACATCAAACAATATATGTACCAGCCACACCTATCTACTCCACAGAGCAGTCGAATGACCGAGGTCACATCAAACAATATATGTACCAGCCACACCTAACTACTCCACAGAGCAGTCGAATGACCGAGGTCACATCAAACAATATATGTACCAGCCACACCTATCTACTCCTCACTGTTTCGCATCGAAATATTGAAATAATCCTCGGAGAAAGAAGAGTGAAAATACACATTCCTGTCCAGTGCCAAGGAATCAAACTTTGGTCTCCAGTGTGAAATTGATTAGGTCTACCAAATGTGCGAAACAAGCATGCTGCATCAGCTGTGTGACACAGACCATATCTAACATTATGTACAAGTCACACTGACCCATCAGATGTGTGACACAGACCATCTGACCCATCAGCTGTATGACACAGACCATATCTTACATTATGTACACGTCACACTGACCCATCATTTGTATGACACAGACCATATCTAACATTATGTACACGTCAATGTCCCATCAGCTGTGTGACACAGACTATATATAAGAATATGTACACATCACACTGACCTGTCAGCAGTGATAGAGACTGTATCTAACCCTTTGTACAAGTCACACCATCATGTCAGCTGAGTGACAGAGACAGTATTTAACACTGTGTACAAGTCCTACTGACCTGTCAGCTGAGTGACAGAGACAGTATTTAACACTGTGTACAAGTCACACTGACCCGTCAGCTGAGTGACAGAGACAGTATTTTACTCTATATGCAAACAACATGGACATATCAGTTGTGTGATAGAGACTGTATTTTTCACTATACAAGCCACACAGACCCACACCTTCCACACATCGATCTTACCTAAATCCAGTTCCTGTTATTGTCACTAATGTATTTCCATCTGTGCCTCCAAAGGCTGGAATGACAGACGTTATTTCTGCTGCAAGGTTCGATTGATAGGAGTAGCTACTTGCCAATGTGATAACTTGGGTACCAGACGTTACAAGGACGTCACAAACAACCTCTCCTGTACCAATAATTAAAGTTAGATTCATAAGTACAGAAAGGTGAAACTTTGCAAGTTTACAAATTTTAACACTGGACTGATGATTGTGGTATATCTGTTGACAGGTTTTTACCATCACTTTATATAGCTTTATCATGTCAAAATTGGAAAACATCATGAACCACATAAACCTAATGCTACCTAGCCAAACTCTTACTTTTGAAAAATATCCCTGTCTATGGAACAGATCTGTTTAAGAGTGTAAGATTTTATTATAGGTCTTGAAGATACTGAACAAAGTTTCTACTTGGAGGGAGTGTCATTTTACCTGTGGACACAGGTGTCTCGACTATCAGTAAAGATGGTGATCTTAATTCCAAGACACGTGCTTGTTCTCCGCAAATTGTAACTGTTGTCTCAGGTTCAAATCCTTGGCCAGTGACATATACTGCTTGACCTCCTGGTAAACCTCCTGTAAACATCAAAACACTGTCATATACTGCACAATCATATTTTCATGGGATTTAAATTTTTTTTTTAAAAATGAGTATATCTTTGACACTTTATTTCATATCTAAATATAGCTCAATGAATCTACATATACTAATTCTAACACTTCATGGACAAATAAATTCCTGGAAGAAGACATCTCACAAAATCACCAAAAACAAATCCACCACAAAAAATAATATTTTTACAGTATGTCATGTTTTTTTTACATATCAATGGGCACTAATGTTAACATTTGCTGTGACATAATGACATTGGTCAACAGAAGGTCAGAGGTCAGTCTTTAATGTCATCTTATAATGGAAAATAACAGATATTGTAAAGTTTATACAGATCATCTTCAAAAACAACTTATTCTTCAATAAAAACAAAGTGATCACAGACAGATCTAAATCTGGTTCAGGGTTCACAAAAAATCTTTTACAATCGTGAACTTTGACCGTTATCTCTGACCAATAATGCCCAAAATTTAGTTATATATAGAATCTGATGGTGTGATGTTATGGTGTGAATATAAACTAAATCTCTTGAAATGTTCCTGAGTTATCCAAGACACAATATTTTATTTGAAAAGTCAGGTTAAGAGTGACCTTCACCCCTGGGCCATATCAAAGTGTTGACCTTAAACATCAAATGTTATTGTGTGTATGAACTGAAGATTTTCAGGTTTTCATGAAATATCCCACAAGCAGTAACAAAGTGATCAGTACATGTGCAGAACTGAAGATAAGGTCGCCATACTAGTGAGAGGGAATTTCTCTTTAGCTGAGTGATAGAGGGTCTGGCTAGAGACCAAAGGGTCACTATAGTTCGAACCCAAGTGTTGGTAGGGTGTTTTTCAATATTCCTTACATTTCAGATTTGGTGCCATTGACCACTTCAACAATAGAAGATAAATGGAGATAAAGAGTGAATTCTCGGAGATATCAAATCTGGATTGTTGTTGTCTTGGGAATGAAAAGAGGGAGGTCGAGTAAACTTAAGAGAACAGGCTGCCTTACTAGATTTGGCTTGTAGGAATTTACCTTTAATTATGCGGCAGTGTCAAGCCAGAGACTAAAGGGTGATGGGTTCACTAGCAAATCCCACCCATGGCACGACGATCTATATTACTCCTTTCAATTACACATGTATCGTTCAGTATTAAGTAAGGGGTACAATAACTTTCATGTAGTTTTAGAAACACAGATGTACCTCTCCAGGAAAAGGATTTTCACAAAAATAAGAGTTTACAAGCAAAACAAAATATGAAACAGTGAGGTGTGTGCCTTAGACCTGATATGCTTATATTCAAAATTGTATTGTATTGTGTAAAAAAAAAGAGTAGTGTAATGAAAAACATCTTTCCCCACTATAGTTCCCACAAGCAACCCTTACATCTCAAGCAAGACAAGGCCTCTACACAGTACCTGGTGACTTCTAAATCAATGTACTCTCGCCTTTCCAAAGTCTTTGACTCAGAAGACAACAATAGCCCAGACTCAATAACCCCATTAGGAATCTCCTATAGTGTCTTCCTTTGGAATGGGCAATGGTACCAAATTTGTACTGGGAAGGACTTTTTAAAAAACACCCTACCATCACCTGAATTTGAATAAGTGACCTTTTGGTCTCAGAGCAAAACTCTCAGCTATAGAGAAATTCTGTCTAAGTATTGTGGCAAGCATCTCTTTTTCCTATAGCCTCTCCCAATATGTAATAGGAAGGTGTAATGAAAATTGGCCTGCACCATAGGAATCTTAAGCTTAAAAAGCAGCTTGTAGGTCTTAATCTGGACACTCCACCACTTGACTGCAGTTCTCCACTTATAAGCAAAGGCTAATACAGCAATGCCACTTCCCTACTTATAAGCAAAGGCTAATACAGCAACGCCACTTCCCCTCTTATAAGCAAAGGCTGATACAGCAACGCCACTTCCCCTCTTATAAGCAAAGGCTGATACAGCAACCCCACTTCCCCTCTTATAAGCAAAGGCTAATACAGCAACCCCACTTCCCCACTTATAAGCAAAGGCTGATACAGCAACCCCACTTCCCCTCTTATAAGCAAAGGCTGATACAGCAACGCCGCTTCCCCTCTTATAAGCAAAGGCTGATACAGCAACCCCAATTCCCCACTTATAAACAAAGTCTAATACAGCAACCCCACTTCCCCACTTATAAGCAAAGGCTAATACAGCAACCCCACTTCCCCTCTTATAAACAAAGGCTGATACAGCAACGCCACTTCCCCTCTTATAAGCAAAGGCTGATACAGCAACGCCGCTTCCCCTCTTATAAGCAAAGGCTGATACAGCAACGCCACTTCCCCACTTATAAACAAAATCTAATACAGCAACCCCACTTCCCCTCTTATAAGCAAAGGCTAATACAGCAATGCACTTCCCCACTTATAAGCAAAGGCTGATACAGCAACCCCAATTCCCCACTTATAAGCAAAGTCTAATACAGCAACCCCACTTCCCCACTTATAAGCAAAGGCTAATACAGCAACCCCTTCCCCACTTATAAGCAAAGGCTACAGCAACCCAACCCCACTTCACTTCAAAGGCCAGCAACCCCACTTTCCCACTTATAAGCAAAGTCTAATACAGCAACCCCACTTCCCCACTTATAAACAAAGTCTAATACAGCAACCCCACTTCCCCACTTATAAGCAAAGGCTAATACAGCAACCCCACTTTCCCACTTATAAGCAAAGTCTAATACAGCAACCCCACTTCCCCTCTTATAAGCAAAGTCTAATACAGCAGCCCGTAATCTCAACCCCTCTATCTGAAGTGATTTGGTATTGACAAATGTACGAATCACCACTGCAGAAGTAGATATTGAAGTTCTAATTTCATCAAACATTTCTTACAATTTCATAGGTATAAATGAATAAAATAATTAATTTGAAAAAACCAATTTCCCTACCTGAATCTGGATTAATTCCAGAGGCTTCAAATCCATATGTTACACTGAAGTCACCGTCAGCTCTTCCATATCCTGTTCTAAACAAAGAAACAGGAAAGGTCCCCGCAGAATGTGTTCCAGCAGTGCAGACAATTTCTGTATCACTTTGTGTTAAAACTGGACATGGATCATTACCAATAAGAGCCAAGTTCTCTCCATCATATGCTGAAAAGCCAGTCCCCGTTATTGTTATTTGTGTGTTCCCCGTCACAGCCAATGGATCTACACCTGTTGTTCTTGGTGTTTTATTCAAATCATATCCAAATTCCAGAGTCTGTGGATAAAGTGAACTGCTCACTGTAACAGCTATTGTTTGTGTACCAGTACCACTGGGGGTCCAACATATTACAGAAGACAAAGTTGTTGATGAAATGACACAAGGAATGCTATTTATAGTAACAGATGTGTCACCATCAATGAAGCCATTCCCATTCAATGTGATACTGGTATTGCCTTTTTCACTTCCAACTGAAGGAATCACATTTGTAAGCATGCCAATACTTTCTACAGTAACACTTCCTGCCTGTTCAGCAACTCCTTCTGAGTTATGTGTAACACTGACAAGGTGTCCACCTAGTGGTAAATGCTGCCTCTCACAAGTTATCTCTTTATCATTTACAGCTGTCACAGCACAGACCTCTGACCCAATTGTCACTGCCAAGACTGAACTGTCCGTACCAAAGCCGTTCCCGTGCACTGTAAATGTTGTCATTGTTGACCCATCTAAAGTCGTTGGTGTTATACTTATGAGCCGTAGTTCATTGCTGTAGATGTATTCACAGTCTTGCAAACAGCTGTACTGAGAATTGTGTATAGTTGAAATCACTTGTACAGCCTGAGCTTGTCCAACACTGCCTTGTGGGATAGTACAATTTATTTGTGTGTATGTCTGATTGACAATCGAACAGGGGAAAGCCCCAATTTGAACTCTGGTATTTGTAAGTCCAACACCATTGATGGTCATCGTTCCTCCTCCAAGCGAAGAACCGGACAATGGTGAGAAGTCACGGACAAATGGTCGTAGGACACATGTTGGATTCGTCACCTTGTTCAGGGAGGCTCCACGACCGGCTACAAAGGCTGACACTTCATAATTCACAAAAGTCTGAGAAAAAAAGAGAACAGAATGAAAAAAAGTGCAGTCATATTCAACAGAACGTTTTGATGAAGAATTGAAATGAAACCAAATTTTAGAATATGATACTTGCATCTTTATGAAGTATTTTTCTCATTTCATCATATGACAAAAGCCTTTGGTATATAATTAATGAATTAAAACATCCAGTTCCATGGATTTGCAGGATATCTGACTTTTTCCGAGACCACGATTGAAGATCAATTCTTTGACTTATGATTTATGGTTAGGTTTTACTGTTCCACTTTTAAAGGAGATTATCAACATTTTCATGGTTTTCCTTTGCATTTACAAATCAGATCATGATTTTAAAAAAATGTACATTAGCTACTACATTTTTTTCCAGAGAATATATTACTTATTCTTTGAAATTTATTTCAAAGCCAAATGCATCAATCTGAGACCGTATTTGACAATGTGTACAAGTCATCAGGTAAGAGACACAGACCATATTTAATACTTTGTACAAGTCACAGTGACTCATCAGCTGAGTGACAGACTGTATTTAACACTTTGTACAAGCCACACTGACCCATCAGCTGTGTACCATAGACTGTATTTCACACTTTGTACAAGTCACACTGACCCATCAGCTGAGTGACAGACTGTATTAAATATTATGTACAAGTCACACTGATCCATTAGCGGAGAGACAGTGATTTCATTTCACATTTTCACTGTACAAGCTATATGACTGATGTATACATCACATTAACATATTCTAGTCTACATGCAGACAGCGTAATCCTTCAGACAAAAACAATTAACAAAGTGCAATAACTCTGTAATCAAGGGTTGTGGGCCTGACAAATGGTACACTGCATATTGTCTTTGTACATTTATGTATAATCAATGTATACATCAATTTTCATTATCCTACCTTCAATGCAAACAAAGTTATTTTCCAGACAAGAATTTTTCAACAAAGGGAAATAACTCTGTAAATGATAAATAAAGGGCTCTGAATTTGGTACACAACACATTGCCTTATTATGATCAATGTGTCTACTAAGTTTCATTATTGCAGTTTAAATGTAAGCAAGCTTTGCACTACATATGAAATTTTAACAAAGGGCAATAACTCTGTAATTAAAAGGTTTTGCGATAAGTAACAGTACATCAACTGTTTTATTTATATATCATGAATGGTAATTTAGAATTGTTGAAAAGCTCAAGAAATTCTGCACATAAGACCAATTCAGTAATAATAATATCTATATTATTTAATCGTACCTCCATTTCTGTTGGTGATGTAGTGTTAATCTGACACTTGACTTCAGTAGCGTTAGCGCTCGTAACTGAACAGACATGACTACCAATATTGATCATATTCTGACATGGTATGCTGCTCCATCCACTTCCTCTAAGGGTTACCATGTCTTTATCGCATATTATGTCGGTTACCTCCCCTGCTCGGCATTCACTGAACACATAATTGAATTTATCAGAGCTTCCACCAGATGTTATTGTAGCACTACATCCAGCAATTGGTGATTCTACCACACCACACTCTCCTCCTGGGATGGAAGGCACTGTTCCATCTAATTAAAATAAAAATACAAATCAAGTCAGTTAACAATTTGCATTAGTGTAAGAAAATCGCACTTCAGTGAACCTACATAATTTGAATACTGCCTATTTACCAAACATGTCTTTATGGGTATATCTTGTTGTTGGCACCTCAGATTCCTGGAACCATTATTCCTTAAATACCCCACATTCCTCAAGCTCATTTCACATTCAATCTTTCAGATGTTCAAAGTATCTTTCACCTCTATTTTCAGCACAGGTGTCATGCTTGCCAAAATTTACCTGTGTCACACATGACTGCAACCAACCACAGATGATTGCTCCCGTTTGGTTTATGACTTACATCTGATTGTTTGAATACTCTGTATTCCCAATGTGGGGGACTAACTAATTACAAGCCTAGAGTGTCCTCTGGTGGCACTTGAAGGAGACTAATTACAAACCTATTGTGCCCTCTGGTGGTATAATAGGGGACTAATTTCAATCCTATGGTCCCCTGTGGTTGTACTGAAGGAAAACTAATTTTAATCCTATAGTCCCCTGTGGTAGTACTGGAGGGAGACTTATTTCAATCCTATAGCCCTCTGTGGTAGTACTGGAGGGAGACTTATTTTCAATCTTATGGTACCCTGTGTTACTACTCGAGGGAGACTAATTTCAAACCTATGGTTTGTTGTGTTAGTTCTGGAGGGGACAAATTCAATCCTATGGTCCCTTATGTTAGTACACGAGGGGACTAATTTCAATCTTATGGTACTTTGTGGTAGTAATGGAGGGAGACTTATTTCAATCCTATAGTCCCCTGTGGTAGTACTGGAGAGAGACTTATTTTAATCCTATAGTCCCCTGTGGTAGTACTGGAGGGAGACTTATTTCAATCCTATAGTCCCCTGTGGTAGTACTGGAGGGAGACTTATTTCAATCCTATAGTCCCCTGTGGTAGTACTGGAGGGAGACTTATTTCAATCCTATAGTCCCCTGTGGTAGTACTGGAGGGAGACTTATTTCAATCCTATAGTCCCCTGTGGTAGTACTGGAGGGAGACTTATTTCAATCCTCTATTCCTCTGTGGTAGTAATGACAACTCTATAAATAGTAATATCCTTGTTCTCCCAGTGTTACTTTAGGGTCCCAATTATTACAATAAATATATCGTCCCCTCCAATAAAACAATGATAGGGAATTAGGATACCTGAATGTAGGTTGTAAGTAGCCTCAAAGCCATTTAAATGGACTTGTACATCAACTTCATAGGATTGCTTTGGAGCAACTTCTATTTTCCCATAAAACTGTATCCCATCATTATCATTACTAGTGTAATAAATATCTCCTGGTTCTGTCATCTGGATACGGAAGGTACCTTAAAAGAAAAAATGGCTTTGATTAGCTCAACTACAGATTGAGAGGTGGTCAGAATCATATCCATTAGATATAGGAATATTGTAAAATTTGTCTGTTCTGTTCAAACTATAGTGACCTTATCCTCTCGAGGTAAACAGAAAGCATCCATATCTGCTAAAGCTGAAAATAATTTTCATTAATCTACAGCTAACAAGCAAATTAACATCTGATATATATAAACTTCATTTAACACAGCTCCAAAACAAGCAATTCATTTATATCAGTCACTGTTGTTGGCTAGAATGGAAGGGTATGAGGATGAGGAGCACAAAGCAGTACCTGAGAAAAGTTCATGTGGTCAAGCGGTCACCTGTCCATACCTTGTCACTTCCACTCGGTGAGTCTGAAACCCAATCTTGGTGAAAAGCATGTGCATTCTACAACTATGGTACCTGACCACCAATTAATATCCAACTTATCAATTACCAGCAGTATTTAAAGCATGTATCATCATCACATACCTGTCCTGACAGCAGCTCCACTTTTAAATCCACCAGTTACTATGTTGCCATTTGGTCCATCAATCTGCTGAATTTTAAAAGTATTATATGGTGTATTTCCTGACCAAGAAATCTCCACATAATCTCCGGTCTCAACATAGACAGGAGAAGGATTCCATGCAAATCCAAGCCCTAGGGTACCTGAAACACATAAATCCTCATCATGATTATTGATCAGTATCATCAACATCATCATTGTCTCTTACTGTAATCAACTACACAGTCATTGCAATGTTATAAAACTTTTGTCATCCTCAACGTCATTGTAGCATCATTTCTAATGGAGGAGTAAAATTTTATATACTTTGCTCTGTTTCCCAAATTTGGCCACACCCCTCTCTCCCCAAGTGTGACAATTATAACATCATTACTGTTGGCATAGAAACAAGCACAGTGCACCATTAAAAAGGTAGTATTGGATTAATTGGTCAGTTAAAAATTGCACTAGTTTAATTAACATAATTCACAATCTACTGCAACATGTAAAGGGATTGAAAGACATAAGTAACCTTCTTCATTAATCAGGACAGTATACTGAAAATCACTTATATTTTGCATGGAATTCATTCTTGCACATTCCAATCCCTCGCGATTGTTTGTACAAAAATAATTCTGAATGACATTTATGTTGATCGTGTTACCGATAAATTAAATTAAATTTGTGAATTTTAAGTTATATCTAGATCACCGTTCACAAAATCCGTGAATACGTCTGAAGAGGTAAGAACTAACAACAAGTAGTCACAAAATCTAAGTGATTACCGTCACAACAATATTCATATATTGATCTCAACATTTTATTTCTGAATGGTTACATCAAACCCAAAGTCTTGTGCTATTAATTGGTGATTTAGACAGACTTGTTCATGTGCTGATAACCACAGGGTGGTCTGATGGGGCAGTGGTAACGCACTCGCCCTTCACCAAGTCGTCTGGGGTTCGATTCCCAAAACGGACTTGAAAAGGTAAGGGTTCACGTGGGTTTTCCCCGGATACTCTGGTTTCCTCCCACCCCTCATGCTCTTAAATCTAGGTCAACAAGAGTGACCAGTAGAAGTTGAAATAATTTTTTTTGCAATTATTGTCAAATAAATAAAGTTTATATATATACTTTGTTGATGAAATTTAGCAATGTTCAATATGATTGATTCCATTGACTTTAAGCAGTTACATAATTAGGACACATCATTTAACCCCATGACCTCGAAAGTGGATAAAGGTCAAACATTTGAGTTGTTAGCCCTACTAAACACCATTACTACTGGTCAAAAAGCATGGCTCTACCTGTCAAGTACATCATAGTCAGTAAGAGGTTTTCATCTGTGTGGGAAATTTTACACTAAACAGAAAGACAAGAGACAGACGGACTAATGGACAGAAAATGGATATCATACTGGTTGATTCCCATAGATAAGAAATCTTATATACAATTACAGCTTACTTGAGTGTCCGGAATTGTCCACGGTATGATTTTTGACAGTGTATCGTATCCGACATTCGAATCGGGTGTCTGTCACTTCCAACACATCACATGGAGTTGTACCAACTAAAACAGTTAGGTTGTCGGCATTTGTACCGAAACCTTGACCAACACCTGTGATGACAGTCCGTCCAAACAGGGATCCCTCCACAGGTGAAATAGCATCCAAAGTCAATGTGTAGCTAACATCTGCCACACCAGGTCTATATCAGAAGAAAAAACATTTGATTAAATATGCCATACAAAGTATGAAATTTTAGATTCTGCATTTTGTAACTTCTGGAATTGTCATTTTATGTGCATGGATGTAAAATTATGATAAATTGCTTAATATGTTTAAATTAAGAAAACATTATCTGCTGCAATATTCATCTACAATTTTGTGAATTAAACGCCAAAAAAGACTATATCGTAATATTGTAAATACTCTCAAATTCTAACAAATTTTGAAAATTTAAAATGTATTTATCTGGCAAGAAGTCCATGTTTGGTAAGCCCACCCATTTGTATTCAAACCAATGCTACTTTGTATCAGTACCTTGACCTTGTGACCCCAAAAATGTTGTATCAAAACAAAAGAACAATTGTATGAATTAATGAAGACTTGTCACTAAACTACACACAGACTGTTGACCTACATTTATCTCCCCTCCCCTGTGGATGGCAGACATCTCACCCAAGGAGATATTCTTTAAACCCCACACCTGAAAAAGCTAGATGCGATATCTCCTCCAGGGACATCACTGAAAGCTAATTCCCTTTAATTGTAAGAAAATTTTCAGAATTTATACATACATGCACCCTCAAACAAATACACATATTGATCCAACTATTATCTGCAATAATTACCCTCTTACTGCATAGCCATTGTTGCCAACTTTGACTTTGATTGGGTAGGATCCAACTCCCTGTGATGGGAAGATACCAGTGATGGAGGTGTCTGTAGATGCTGTTACATTTGCTGAGATATCACCAATCAGAACTAATGGTGATGTTCCAAAGTTAACACCGGAGAGTGTAAACGTACCACCGCCTACAGAGTAAAACAGAAAACCTCAGTTGTTAGAGAACAAGGATCCATAGCTACAAGGTTAGGATCACACATTATTACATGTAATGTGATGTGTGCAGGATGTGTGCACAATAAGAAAACTAGGTTTTCATAGAGCTACACACATACACATAATTCAGTAAGAAGCCATAACTCCGTTCACTATGGTTGAACAAGCTTAAAGTTAGTGTTGCATGTAACACTCGTCCCCAGCCATTAGTTAAATTTTCTAAGCAACATTGACCTTGATAGCAGTGAACAGATGTCTCATTTTCACAATATAAATTTTTGCCTTCAGAAGCCAGTGTGTTGACAGGAAGGACAAAATAACCAGAAAATAACATGGAAAAATCAGGGCCGAATTGAGGCACAACATACGCCTGTCGCCAGTCTTCGATGGAGAAGCAGTATTTGCCTGAATAACAAAGTTGTCTTGGAATAATCTGAATATCATTTTGGGGAGTTTTAGCCATTTCATACCACCATTTGCTAATATAGTATGTGAACTTATGATTTTATACAATATATACTAAAAAGGAGAGTTTATCAAAAATCAACTAATGGGGAATAACTCAGAAACTATGCATGCAAGGCAGGCAATTTTTATACGCAACACTCCGGCATCTCTTGAAATACATGTGTACAAATTATGGTGACCAGAGAGCAAGGAGTCATGAAATTATGACGCGGACAAGGGAAGTTTACGAAAAATCAACATAGGGGAATAACTCAAAAACTATGTATTAAGGGAATTTTTATACACAACACTCTGTCACCTTAAGATATATATGTGTACAAAGTATGGATGTACGGACATATGGACGTATGGACGGACGGACGGACGGACAACAACGCCATACCATAATACGTCCCATCAAACGACAGGCATATAAAAACTTTTAATCTACTTCCTTGTGCTTAATTCTGTATGAAATTTAAATCAGGTTTATCATCCCTAATTCAATTAAGTGATTATCTGGAAAACAAACTAAAACACTGACATGTCAGAAAGGACCCGGTTTTGTGTCTGACCTTTAAGGGTAAATTCAACCATTCTAGTCACATATTCAGTATATGCATGACAAGATGTAAAATTCGACCTTTGACATTGATTAGGAGGCTACTGGTGTTATTCTGACAAATTTCATTTTCCGCATCTTTGATTCAGGGTCCTAAAAATAATGATAAATGTCTATTGTAGTAAGTGACCTTCACAGCCTGAAGAGGTTCGTTTTTGACCCCTAACTCAATCTCTGTCATATATTTCCTAATAATATTTAATTGCATCAAATTTCAATACAATCAGTCAACCCTATCACATGTTATCATCTGGAAGCCAAAATATGAGGATAAGCGTTGATCTTTGGTAACATTTACCTTCGTAGTTAACCTTTCGACCCCAAACTCAATCGCATTTTTCATAACTTCATAAGCTAATATTTTGTGAAGTTTCAACCATATATATCTATACTTTCTGAAGTTATCATCTGGAAACCGAAACTTGCCAAAGTCTATTTTTAGCATCAAAGACCTTTTGACCCCTAACTCAGTCCAACTCAGTATTACCTCATAAGCTAACATTAAATGAGGTTTCATTCAAATCAATCTACCTTTTCATCCAGATAGGCAGACAGACAGTCAAACAGAAACAAACACTATAGTTATCTCCAGTTTCAATGACAGTGGACTAAAAATAATGTTGATAAAATTTGTCCGAGCTATGTGTGTAATGAACTCCCTATGAAGTTATATATTGAAAACTACTCAAGTTATCATGCTAACACCATGTGTGCCCGTCGGCCCCCAATGCCCAACCGACAGCCCTACCACTGCCCGCCCTACAGCCTTTCAACCAGTGTATAAAAACAATGGAACATGATGGCAAAGAAACAAGTAGACATTTCCTGGAATAGCCCCAATAAACCACTGTCTTCAACAACAAATATTTAATTCTCATCTTATACAAATAATTCTTTTTTAATTTTGTACAAACCAAGAACACTGGAACTGGATGGTGAAGCAGAGAGAAGTTGAGAGGTAGAGGATGTGTCATAGGTGAACTGTGTATCTGAAGTCAAATCCTGGTTGAGGTTAGATACCACAACATCCTTTGCACCTGCTGTGTCCTGAACGGAAATCAACAAAACTGGCAAGTGTTAATATTTCATTCAAGTCACAGTTTCGTTCAGTACTTAAATGAATATAATTTGACTTTAAAACAATGTTGCAGGATAAATAGAATGCATGGTGTCAGTGTCTTAAAATATAAGCCGTATTTCGGCTCGGGGCTCACCACTTTTGTCTTTCTTCACCCTTCCCAGAATACATCTTAAATTCTATTATGACATTAACATGCTTATAACAAATTTCATAACCCGAAGTTCTTAGTTTATTACTGCAGTTTTTTGATTGGTCAAAGTTCTGATATTTTATGAATGAAATAATTATATGAATGAAAGTAGTATTTTCCAAATCTGTCACTAGATGTTGTCATTACTCAGAAGACATACAAATAATGACGATTACAGCATAGAACAAACACGACTGAGAGTTGTTGGAGTTGTTTGTGTCAAAAACTGTATCCATGCAACGCATCATTCCTGAGAAATGATGGAGCATCAGCACAGAGAATACTATGTAGCCGCTAATTTCTGCAGGTCCATATCTTCGTGATTTTCTTACAAGGAATGTAGATTTCATGATATGGATGAAAAAGACATCTAATACACTTGTGTCTTATCACTTTACGAATTAGATTTTCTTGATCACGTTAAGAAACCATGAAATGATAAAAATATCATCCACACAAAACAAATTGGCTGTACGGTATGAGAAATGGACACAATGTCAAAATTTTCCTTACCGAACCAGGTGTGGTACAAATAATCTGTCCTGACTCAATTGATGTCACCTGACAAGGATTTCCTCCCACTTTCACAGTGGCATCTGGATGAAAACCGTAGCCAGTCAACGTCAATATTGTTCCACCTGTAAATCACAGACAGCAAGAAAAGGGTTAACACACTAACGATAAGGAGCAAGGTCTGTTATTCATCATCATCACAAAATACTGACCTTAACTCCATAACTACGGGATAATGACATTGCTTTCATTCTTTTTTTCCCGTTTTTTTTTTCTTTTTTATTTTTGTTTGTGACGACATTGATGATAAATACATTGTGTACAAATTATATGCTAACAGCACTTCAAGTTTGTTGTGCGATCCTTAAACTGTATATTTGTCTTTTACTAAAATTCCCTGTACTGTAGCTATACAGTAAGACTTACCTCCCAGACTTCCCTGTACTGTAGCTATACAGTAAGACTCACCTCCCAGACTTCCCTTTACTGTAGCTGTACAGTAAGACTCACCTCCCAGACTTCCCTGTACTGTAGCTGTACAGTAAGACTCACCTCCCAGACTTCCCTGTACTGTAGCTATACAGTAAGACTTCCCTGTACTGTAGCTGTACAGTAAGACTCACCTCCCAGACTTCCCTGTACTGTAGCTGTACAGTAAGACTCACCTCCCAGACTTCCCTGTACTGTAGCTGTACAGTAAGACTCAACTCCCAGACTTCCCTGTACTGTAGCTATACAGTAAGACTTAACTCCCAGACTTCCCTGTACTGTAGCTATACAGTAAGACTTACCTCCCAGACTTCCCAGTTCTGGAGATATAGTCTGAACACCCTCCAAGATGGTAAACTGAGTTGATGAATCTATGGGAGCATTTCCAACCCCATCAATATGGACAGCAACATTGGAAGGTCCTGAGGGTGCATTAGGAACATTACACTGGATCTCAGTGCTTTTGAAAGAAATTACTTCACACAAGACATTACCAATCCGCACTGTAGGTGTTGAACTGAACCTTATGCCTGTCACCGTCAGAACCGTGCCAAGTACTTGTGATCCTGGTAACACATCCAGAAAGATATGGTATTAAGAATCATAAAAAATTGTGCATAACCTTTATGTATATAAAACAAGGCAACAGAAATATCAATGTAATCCCCCAGCAGCTCCATCCTGAGTGAATTAAAGCAGATAGACAAGTTCGGAAAGTTTGAGTAAAAACCACTTTTGTATAGAAAAAATATTCCTATATCAACACTCAAACCTTTGTTGCAATATGATAATTCTTCATTATTTAAATCTAGCCATCAGAATTTCATAAAGGGCAACACCTATCCTTTGAAAAAACATTTGTGGTCTGATGGCGCAGTGGTAAAAAAATCGCCTTTCACCTGGACATCTGAGGTTTGATTTTAAAGAAATACTCTTTAGTGGAAACTTGATTTTATTGAAATATGACTCAACTGATTTTCTGATACTAATTTAAGAAACTAGTGATAGACATATGAATTCATAGATTTTAGTTCACCAAAAGAAGGATTACAACTGCACATGAGGTTCGAACATTTGGAGACACACAATATCCAAAATGGAAAATTTAAAATGTTGGGATTTGTGCATAATATACACTGTAAAATCATTTATACTGCGACTCACAATTCCATTGTCAGAATACATCTGCCACATATTTTTTCTGTGTGCTGCAGTGATGGCAAACAGCTGTAATTTAACATATGCACTAATTTTGAGAAAATTACTTTCTTGTTTACTTAAAGAATTCTATCAAAATTACAAAAAACTTTTTAAACTTGTTTTTTAAAACAAAAAAATTTTCTTTTCAAAAATTCAGAAAATTGTTTTTTAAAATACAAACTGTCAAAATTTCTGAATATTTAGTAAATGATAAACGATAAATAGAATACATGGTCAATGTCTTACAATATGCTGCTCATTGGTTCTAGACAAAACGACAAAAGTGGCTCATCACTTGTGTCTTTCTTCACCTTCGCCAAAATACAGTTTATACTTTGAGACACTGACCATGTATTCTCTATATATAATCATTAGGCTCAATTTTCACGGTTTTTCAAAAATTCATGATTTCATTGGCACTTCATGTTGTGCCTAAAATACTAAATACAGCACAATAAACCTACTACCACTGATTTCAATAGTTCATAGACATATAAATTTGAGGACTATGATGAAACACCCCCCATACCTCTCATGAAAATGAATGATTCTACAGTACTGTTTTATAGTACCTTATATCTGTCTTACCTTGGAGTGGACTTAAACCAGTAATAATCGGTGTGATATCACTGGAATAGGTAAACGTACAACTCCCACCACAGGCCGCCGGTATGCCATTGATTGAACTTGTCACCTAACGAACAAAAATTTGATATTTAAATATTACACCAAATATTACTTATATTGTATTTAAGAACATAAAAGTAAAATACATTCATTACGCAATGTGAACAGTCTTAACTCATTTTTATCACTACATGATAGAGTGAAACCTTTTTTTAAGACCAACTTTAAAAAAAAAAAAAAAAAAAAACACCTGTCTATAAAGACCACCTTTTTGAAAAGACCACCTGTCTATGAATACCACCTGAAAGACTTTTCACAGGACTCCACTTACATTATGGTTCAAGGGGCATAACTCCCATAAAATTATTGTGACATTTGCCCATAAAAATGCTCTGGCATTTATAACATCCATAAATGCCAGAACAGATCTCTCCCTCCCTCGTCCACCATCAAGAGTAGGTGCATATGAAAAGGTTGATAATCCTTACCTGTTCTCCTTCCTCAGCTGCGCATGTCCAGTCACCTCCAAGCTCCTTTAATTTTGTACAGCCATGGATCATAGTTGATATTGCCATATCTGGGATATTGCCCGTCAGGCCAACAGATTCTGCCTGTTGATATAACCACCACAAATAATTATTAAAAAACTTCCCGTGTCTTGGTATCGCTAATATTCATTTTTCAATTGCAAAGAAAATGAAACAGACAGATAAAGAAAAGCTGTTATTAGACAAGAAAAACTAAACACACAGTAAATGTTAAAAATATAGGAAAGGACCTGTACCGGTATGTAAGATACATTTCGGCATAGTTTAAATTTTCCGGACTTCAATCTTTCATAAATACAATCAGTCTAAAGTGTGATGAAATGTATATATTTTGGGGTTGATTTAACACTTATGAAAATTGAAAGTTAGTATCGAGAGTGTAAACATCCTTTGGTGGAAGATTTCCTGTACAAAATATTGAAAATTATCGACAAAGCCAAACTGACCATAGGGTAAAGATTGGTCTATGGGTAAAAATGACCATTGGGTACAGATTGGTCATCAGGTTAAATTGATGTTGGGTAAAGATTGGTCACAGGGTAAAATTGACTATAGGGTGAAAATTGGACAGCAGGTAAAATGGACTATTAGGTAAAGTTGGTTGCCAGGAGAAACTGAAGACTGAGTGAAAAGTAGGTCAGGGAGTAAAACTGGCCAATGGGCAATGATTGGTTAAACTGACTGATGATGGTAAACAAATGAAGTAGACCATTGAGCAAAGATTGATTAAGGGGTAAAACTGGCCATTTATGAATGAAGATTGGTCAACAGGCAAAATTTACCAATGATTGTTAATTGGTCACCAGGTAAAATTGACCAATGATTGATAATTGGTCACCAGGTAAAATTGACCATTTGATAAATAATGACCAAAAAAGTTTTTAATGTCTGTAAAGGTATTGAATTTATTGGTATTGCAAGCTTAATGCAATAATTGTCATTTTTATCATGCATATAACTTACCGTCATTTCTGGCAGGTTTCCTGTACGTGAGACCCATGTTACATGCCACTCAAAGTGGGAACAGTTGCCAATATGTACAACATCCACATCTTCTCCATTGTCTCCAAATATTTGTTCGATTTCTAGTGCTGTTGCTCTGACTGGCACACCTGTTCATCAATTAAAAACTCAAATAATTCATACTTAATACAGAGTGAAAGTAGAGTCTTTTTTTGGATGGGGACGAGGGTGTTGTTTTAGATTTGTTTTGTTTTATAACAAATGTACTAAAAACTTCAATTCCTCATAAAAAAGTTAACAAAAAGTATGGAGGATCTCAAAATATAACAAAGTAAAATATGACGTAAAATGACCCCTTAAACCATACAAGAAAAACCCATTAGTACAGGTAAAACCAAAGTGACCCAACATAGTGATTAATATGAATTATCAGTGAAGAAATACTGCAACCTACCAGTCAAGTCAATGGTTACAGGTTAAAAGTATCATTAAAGTTATAGTAAGAGGTTAGGATAACCATAGTTAAGTGTTTAAACCATTGCTACTGGTTAAAATCATAGTTAAAAGTTTATAAGTTACTGGTAAAAAAACATTCTTAGAGGTTTATGACCATAGCTACAAGTTAAAACTATAGCTACAGGTTAAAACCATCGTTAGAGATTAAAAATAGTAACATGTTAAAACAAGGGCTGTCAGAGACAGGCTATGTTTTCCGAATTGGACAGAGTTTAAGTACGAAAAATAACAAAGGGTAATAACTCCTATAAAATGCAAAAGACGAGTCATGGTTCTTGAGCACTTAACGTTGAGATATATCTACCTATGTTTCATGTTGATGCCACTTTCAGTTTTAGTGTAATACTCCAAACAAAATTTAAATATGGAAAATAGCAAAGGGCCATAACTCCTAAATTATACAAAAGAGAGTGATTCTTTATGTGCACTACACCTAAAAATAAAAATACTTACAGATTAAAACTGTAGTTTAGATTAAGATTATAATTATAGTTTAAAACCATAGTTACAAGGTAAAACCATAGTTACAAGGTAAAACCATAGTTACAGGTTAAAACTGTAGTTTAGATTAAGATTATACTTATAGTTTAAAACCATAGTTACAAGGTGAAACCATAGTTACAAGGTAAAACCATAGTTACAAGGTAAAACCATAGTTACAGGTTAAAACTGTAGTTTAGATTAAGATTATACTTATAGTTTAAAACCATAGTTACAAGGTAAAACCATAGTTACAAGGTAAAACCATAGTTACAGGTTAAAACTGTAGTTTAGATTAAGATTATACTTATAGTTTAAAACCATAGTTACAAGGTAAAACCATAGTTACAAGGTAAAACCATAGTTACAGGTTAACAGGTTAAAACTGTAGTTTAGATTAAGATTATACTTGTAGTTTAAAACCATAGTTACAAGGTAAAACCATAGTTACAGGTTAAAACTGTAGTTTAGATTAAGATTATACTTATAGTTTAAAACCATAGTTACAAGGTGAAACCATAGTTACAGGTTAAAACCGTAGTTTAGATTAAGATTATACTTCTAGTTTAAAACCATAGTTACAAGGTGAAACCATAGTTACAGGTTAAAACTGTAGTTTAAATTAAGATTATACTTCTAGTTTAAAACCATAGTTACAAGGTGAAACCATAGTTACAGGTTAAAACTGTAGTTTAGATTAAGATTATACTTATAGTTTAAAACCATAGTTACAAGGTGAAACCATAGTTACAGGTTAAAACTGTAGTTTAGATTAAGATTACACCTATAGTTTAAAACCATAGTTACAAGGTGAAACCATGGTTACAGGTTAAACCTAAAACCACTGGAACCAATAATATAAGTCACTCCAAAGAAATGTTTTATATGTTGTGCTGAAAGCAGTTCTCACTTCATTACTGTTTTAAACACGATCATGGTATAAAGGTCAATGTTATCAGATTAATCACTTATTTCTTTATGAAACATGAAGACAGAACAGTGAAATAAGCCAGCAAAACAGTTCCTAGTGATAAGAAGAATCGTGAAAATGGAAGAAAACCTGTCACCAACTGACCAGTCTTTATTAAATACTCACTGATCGACTTGCCCATGAACCCGAATGTGACTGAACCATCCACAGGGTAACTAGCAGCAGTCAGCCTTTCATTGGTCATCTCTCCGCCTGATCCTATCAGGAACTTGTTGTTCTGCTCTTCCTGTGTAATTATACACCAAACAGAGTTGATCATCACTGTCCTCACAGTGATAGCAAACACAAAGCTTCATGCAATGGAAACTCAAAATTACAAAGCCTTTTTGTAAATTTTTTAAATTTCTGTAAAATTTAGGACTATGATAGTAATGAAAGGAACACTTACAATTCCAAATAGTTTGAAACGGGGCAATTCATGGCCACATTCTTGAGGATCCAGGGTTATACCATAGCTGACACTGCCATCATCATTGTTAACCTTTGTCACATCAATACCTTTCAGTAATTGACCTCCAGGTCTCGGCTGTCGTCTAATCATGTTCACCATATCATCTATCAAAAACAGATTGTAGCTATATCATTTAACATACATACTATATCATCTAACAAACTATGTAGCAATATCATTTAACATACAATGTAGCTATATCATCTAACATACAATGTAGCTCTATCATCTAACATACAATGTAGCTCTATCATCTAACATACAATGTAGTTATATCACCTAACATACAATGTAGCTATATCACCTAACATACAATGTAGCTCTATCACCTAACATACAATGTAGCTATATCATCTAACATACAATGTAGCTATATCATCTAACATACAATGTAGCTCTATCATCTAACATACAATGTAGCTATATCATCTAACATACAATGTAGCTATATCATCTAACATACAATGTAGCTATATCATCTAACATACAATGTAGCTATATCATCTAACATACAATGTAGCTATATCATCTAACATACTATGAGGCTATATCATCTAACATAGAATGTAGCTATATCATCTAACATACAATGTAGCTATATCATCTAACATACAATGTAGCTCTATCATCTAACATACAATGTAGCTCTATCATCTAACATACAATGTAGTTATATCATCTATCATAGAATGTAGCTCTATCATCTAACATACAATGTAGCTATATTATCTAACATACAATGTAGTTATATCATCTACTTACAATGTAGCTATATCATCTAACATACAATGTAATTATATCACCTAACATACAATGTAGTTATATCATCTATCATAGAATGTAGCTCTATCATCTAACATACAATGTAGCTATATTATCTAACATACAATGTAGTTATATCATCTACTTACAATGTAGCTATATCACCTAACATACAATGTAGTTATATCACCTAACATACAATGTAGTTATATCAACTACTTACAATGTAGTTATATCACCTAACATACAATGTAGCTATATCACCTAACATACAATGTAGTTATATCATCTACTTACAATGTAGCTATATCATCTAACATACAATGTAGCTATATCACCTAACATACAATGTAGCTATATCACCTAACATACAATGTAGCTATATCACCTAACATACAATGTAGCTCTATCATCTAACATACAATGTAGTTATATCACCTAACATACAATGTAGTTATATCACCTAACATACAATGTAGTTATATCACCTAACATACAATGTAGTTATATCACCTAACATACAATGTAGTTATATCATCTACTTACAATGTAGTTATATCACCTAACATACAATGTAGTTATATCATCTAACATACAATGTAGCTCTATCATCTAACATACAATGTAGCTATATCATCTAACATACAATGTAGCTCTATCACCTAACATACAATGTAGTTATATCACCTAACATACAATGTAGCTATATCACCTAACATACAATGTAGTTATATCACCTAACATACAATGTAGTTATATCACCTAACATACAATGTAGTTATATCATCTACTTACAATGTAGTTATATCACCTAACATACAATGTAGCTATATCACCTAACATACAATGTAGTTATATCATCTACTTACAATGTAGCTATATCATCTAACATACAATGTAGCTATATCACCTAACATACAATGTAGCTATATCACCTAACATACAATGTAGCTATATCACCTAACATACAATGTAGCTCTATCATCTAACATACAATGTAGTTATATCACCTAACATACAATGTAGTTATATCACCTAACATACAATGTAGTTATATCATCTACTTACAATGTAGCTATATCATCTAACATACAATGTAGTTATATCATCTACTTACAATGTAGCTATATCATCTAACATACAATGTAGCTATATCATCTAACATACAATGTAGCTATATCATCTAACATACAATGTAGCTATATCATCTACTTACAATGTAGCTCTATCATCTAACATACAATGTATCTATATCATCTACGTACAATGTAGCTATATCACCTAACATACAATGTAGCTATATCATCTAACATACAATGTATCTATATCATCTACGTACAATGTAGCTATATCACCTAACATACAATGTAGCTCTATCACCTAACATACAATGTAGCTATATCATCTAACATACAATGTAGTTATATCATCTAACATACAATGTAGCTATATCATCTAACATACAATGTAGTTATATCATCTACTTACAATGTAGCTATATCATCTAACATACAATGTAGCTCTATCACCTAACATACAATGTAGTTATATCATCTAACATACAATGTAGCTATATCACCTAACATACAATGTAGTTATATCATCTAACATACAATGTAGCTCTATCACCTAACATACAATGTAGCTGTATCATCTAACATACAATGTAGCTATATCATCTAACATACTATGTAGCTATATCACCTAACATACAATGTAGCTATATCATCTACGTACAATGTAGTTATATCACCTAACATACAATGTAGCTCTATCATCTAACATACAATGTAGCTCTATCACCTAACATACAATGTAGTTATATCATCTAAAATACTTAAAAAAAGATACTTTATCCAAATTCAAGAAAATTATTCACTGTGCATTAAAGAAAAATGTATAATTTAGACAACACCCCTACCACAACTCGTACTGAAATTGACAACTTCTAATCACCATTGAAATACATGAACTTACCTGATTCATAATCAAAGGGATCCTGTTTTATTACTGTGAGAGCATCAATCCAGAAGTCTCCTTCATTGGAAGTCAGTTTAGCACTGACAACACTGACACAATCTCTGTGGATCACATCCTCAAACTTGATGCATGTGTAACTCCAGCTGTGCAAGATCAACAGATGTAAGAACATTTTAGAAATATTTTACTTACTACAACAGAACTACTTTACCCAAGAAAGTTTCAATAACAAAGCACACCACACATCACCAGTGAGTGGGTTATTCATTGTCACCAGAGAGTGGGTTATTCATTGTCACCAGTGAGTGGGTTATTCATTGTCACCAGTGAGTGGGTTATTCATTGTCGCAAGTGAGTGGGTTATTCATTGACGCAAGTGAGTGGGTTATTCATTATTCATTGTCACCAGGGAGTGGGTTATTCATTGTCACCAGTGAGTGGGTTATTCATTGTCACCAGTGAGTAGGTTATTCATTGTCGCAAGTGAGTGGGTTATTCATTGTCACCAGAGAGTGGGTTATTCATTGTCACCAGAGAGTGGGTTATTCATTGTCACCAATGAGTGGGCTGTGTATTGTCATCAGTTAGTGGGTTATTCATTGTCGCAAGTGATTGGGTTATTCATTGTCACCAGAGAGTGGGTTATTCATTGTCGCAAGTGAGTGGGTTATTGATTTTCACCAGTGAGTGGGTTATTCATTGTCACCAGTGAGTGGGTTATTCATTGTCACCAGTGAGTGGGTTATTCATTGTCGCAAGTGAGTGGGTTATTCATTGTCACCAGAGAGTGGGTTATTCATTGTCACCAATGAGTGGGCTGTGTATTGTCACCAGTGAGTGGGTTATTCATTGTCACCAGAGAGTGGGTTATTCATTGTTGCAAGTGAGTGGGTTATCCATTGTCACCAGTGAGTGGGTTATTCATTGTCACCAGTGAGTGGGTTATTCATTGTCACCAGAGAGTGGGTTATTCATTGTTGCAAGTGAGTGGGTTATCCATTGTCACCAGTGAGTGGGTTATTCATTGTCACCAGTGAGTGGGTTATTCATTGTCGCCAGTGAGTGGGTTATTCATTGTCACCAGTGAGTAGGTTATTCATTGTCACCAGTGAGTGGGTTATTCATTGTCACCAGTGAGTGGGTTATTCATTGTCGCCAGTGAGTTGAGGTTTTTTAATGTAAAACCAATTTTCATGATGTAATACTTACCATAACTTTAGTATGCAAATACAGTACCTACACCCATCTTTGTATCCCAACAACAAAAGATTCAAAAGAAAAACAATCCCGCCCTCCCTACGATCCATGAGCCATCACGACAGGAACGCAGAGTGATCTCCCTTCCTCTAATAACCTTTATGGCGTAAACCCCACAGAGGGGCAGCCAGGCAGATAAGGAAGAGGGGAGGATAGGGTGGGACTCCATAAAGTTATGGTAAGTATTACATCATGAAAATTGGTTTTACATTAAAAAACCTCAATTTCATTTCAGTAATAATTACCATAACTTTAGTATGCGAATTCGTCTTACCGTAGTGGTGACTAGAAGCCAGGCAGCCCCTTCAGCACAACCAAAGTAGTAGGGAGGGAGAACAGAGTGCTAAAGTGAAGGAAGGGACCTCTCTGTGAAAGAGCAGGTGTACCCACATGCCGCCGTACGGAAAGACATGGCCCGGGGCTAACGAGGAGGCCCAGCCACTGACTATGCCACCACCAAAGGTCCCAATGATACAGGCCTTCTGAGTGGGAAGCTAGGGATCACAGATAAAAATCTGTTAAGGTATCCCTGCCCTGCCAGAATACTGCAGACATGACCTCCTGAAAGGAGGACTCATTGAGAGAAGGGCCCAGGATGAAGCAAGGGCCCTGACCTCGTGAGACCGCGCTTTCACTCTCGCCCGAGCCAGATCATCAAAATGCTCGTAAGCATACTAAATCACCTGGCAAACCCACCTGGAAACCGACTGGGAGGAGATATCTCATTGCCCCTGTTTAATGGGCAAAACAGACGGGATCGAGAGCCCCGCCCCCCCCTGGTTTTATCAAGATAAAACCTAAGAGCCCGACAAGGACAAAGCAACCTATCTCGCTCCTCCGAGCTAGTCACAGCCAGGATCCTGATGGGATCGTGCGAGAACCCCGGAACCTGATTCTTCGCTAAAAACAACTCTATTCATAGCAAAGCCTCTGATTAGGGCAGAAAGAGAGGAGGACTAACCGATCTCCTTCCTGCCATAACAAGCAAGAACTCTGGCAATAGCTGTACGATAGCCAGCAATAGTGCCAGGTGGCAGATAGCGGTACCTAAACAGAGAGATTAGGAATTCCGCAATCAAATGCAGAGGCTTCGAATGAATAAGCTTCCTTGCCGACACACCAATCACAGAAGATCATCCAACGTGACTGGTAGACGGCAGAAGAGGAAGCCCTGATTGATTGCTCAATGCAATCGGACACCTCTTGAGAAAAGCCTGCCTTGGCGTGGCTTCCAGAGATAGCCTCAGCGCGTGAAGGTGGAGGATCTCTGGTCAAGAGTGTGTCGTTCTGGGCCAAGGCTGGCGAAGGAGATTCGGTCTGGTGGGGAGAGCCAAGGGCTCCTCCACCAGAAACGACAAGAGCTCCTGAAACCAAGCTTGCCTCGGCCACAGAGGGGCTCTCAGAAGTAAGGAGCAGTGATGCTCCCAGAACTTCTGTAGAACCCTGCCCACCAGGTTGAAGGGAGGGAATGCATATGCATACGTCCCTTCCTATTCCAGAGAAAGGGCGTCCACAGCCCACGCCTTACGGTCTGGGACCGGGGAGACGAAGGTTAGCAGCTGGTTGTTCAGGGAAGTGGCAAACAGGTCTATAATAGGTCTGTCCCACGCCTGACAATTCCCCTTGAAAATCAAGGGACACAGCTGCCATTCTGTCAACACCGGCTGGTGGCGCCTGGAGAGTGGCCACCAACACACTCAGCCTGCCAGAAAGATGCTTGACCGCTATGGTCAACTGCATGTCCTGGCAGAGAAGATGGATGTGGATGGAGAGGGCACACAGGACATGAGACCTGGTGGCCCCTGTCTCTCCAGATACGCGACAACTGTTGTCGGTAGCCACACTTTGGACTGCAGGATACCCCTAAAGGACTGCAGAGCCAAATGAACAGTGTCATCTCGAGTACACTGATGTGCTCCGAGAGTTATTCGCCAGACCACTCCCCCATCGAGGTAAGCTCACATTCCTGTCATGAACGCGTCCATGAACAGGATCATAGAGGGGATAGGCTTGGTCAGAGGTACCCCGTGGAAAACGTTCTCCTGAATGGTCCACCAGCAAGAGAACTCCCTGACCGACTGGGTAAGCGGGATCCAGGCCTCCTGGATGACGGAACCCAGTCAGACAGGAGGAACATCTGGAGAGGTCCGATGTGAATCCTCCCTAGGGGGACCACATATGCCAAGGAGTTGAGATACCCCAGAAAACTGAGGAACCAATGTACCTGGACAAGTGACCAAGTGATGAAAGTCAGAGCCAGAGCCCTGACCTTCTCAAACTTCTCCAGAGGTGGAAGGGCTAAGCCCCGAACCATGTCAAAATGGTTCCCCAGGAAGAAGAAGTCCTAATATGAAGGAACCTCTGACTTCTCTCTGGAAGGAATGAAGCCGACTCTGAGCAAGAGTTTCAGGACCAGACGAGTGTCCTTCACTAACGATTCCCACACCAAAAGAGGCATGAGGGAGTCGTCGAAATAGATGTGGACGTCTATTCTGCAGGAGTGAAGGAAACACCAGCAGCAACTTGGTGAACACCAAAGGAGCTGTCGTGAGCCCCAAGGGCATCTCTGCCTTGGCAGCATGGTCCCTACTTCCTCCTGGAGCACCCGTGCCCTTTCTGAATCCCCGGGAGGAGGAAAGAAACAAAAACGGCCAGGAGGTGAGGGACGAATCCTGAAGAAGGGGAATACCTAGACCCTCCCTGACCACCGACAAAAGCCCAAGCGTCCTCTGTAATATCCTGCCACTAGGAAAGGAAAGCAGAGAGACGTCCGCCCACAGGGAGTTCCGGATGGGGCAGATCGAGCCCCTGCCAGACCAGAGAATCGTCTGCCCACCCGGAGCCTGAGCCTGCAGGAGAAGGACAAGAGCCCGGGAAAGGAGAACCACCGTCCACCCGGCCATACCCTTCGCCTTTCGCGGCCAAGAAGCAGAAATAGTCAGGAACCCTTCTTCTTGCCCCCAGGAGGTTTCTTACCCTTCCTACCCTTCCCCTTGTTGCCGTTGAAGTGAGGTTGGGACTTGGGCTGTGCAGAAAACTGAGCAGCCGAAGACTTCGCCTTCTTCTTAGGAGGCACTGACCCCTGCGAGGCACTGGCCTTCTCAGCCTGAAACCTCTTCACCAGAAGTGCTGAGGCGACCGAGTCCTCCTTCATATCCTTCTGAACCCAAGGAAGAGCTCCCCTGAACAGGGTAGAGCCCTAGAAGGGGGCATTCAACAAGCGGAAACGGTAGGGTTACTGGACTGGGCGGAATTTCAGAACTGAAAACTGCCTAGCCAACACGGCATTGACGAGCAGAGAACCTGCAAGGCTGCCGTGTCCTGTATGTCGGCTGTTCTGTCTCGGATAACCGACACTCAGGCAAATCGGATACCCTGTATAGACAAACTGTCAGGAAGTCTATGTATGACAGAACTTGGATGGAGAGGTGCAACATTCTCTCCATCCTGTGGTGCTCTTTGGGATCGAGCACCACCTGGTCCACTGATTTGCCGGGCCAGGCAGCCAGCTGTCTCAACTCCAGCTGTGCTGGTTGAGAGGCCAGCTGCCCATCATGTGTGGCATAGTCGGAAGCTGAAGCCTCCGACAATTCACCAACACTGAGCTGCAGACCGACAAACCCGAGAGCACGGGTAGAGAAGGAGTCCTTCTCTAAAACCGGAGCCCGGGCCGTGGCCAGAACCGAAGACATGATATTGCCTTCTGGCAGAGACCGATCTGAGCGAACGGAAGCCCGAGGAGCCACCAGGGAACCCAGAAGGATGGTGGATTCAGGCGCCGACGATGCTGAGGCGGTGGGCAAACCTCCGCCCTGAGAATCCGGGAGATGTTGGCCCGGAGGACCCGCATCCCAGAAAGCACATGCTGAGCCTCAGCTTCAGCAGT